CCAAGATTTCATCCCGCGAATTTCAAGACGAATTAGTTCTTATAAATCTTATTCTTAAAGACATAAATTTCAACTTTTGCGGTCTGGGTTCTACATGTTATATTTCATGATTGATTGTATGTGACTTCTTAAGTTGGTTGAATTTTCGTTGTTTGTGTCTAGAATTTTTTCATTAGTCGTTTCAAAAAGCAATTTTCTTATCAAAAATTGGTCTAGCTCAACCTACGTCAATGCTCCATATATTTATTTGGAGTTGATTGGCTCTAGTCCAGGGTACTCCACGAATTTACAAAATTGTAGTATTGTTTCACACCTTTGCCAGGGCCGCCGAGAGCTTTCAGAGGCCCTGGGGCAAAACCGAAAAGTTGAGGACCTGGAGACATTTTTGCTTCAGATTAGCTTGAAAACATTTCAGAATATTTCTTACAGTCATTTTCTTGCAATCGTTAAAAACGTTTGGTACCAGGGGTGTTGTAGTAGGGGGCTTTAGGGGCTGAGCCCCCCTTGTTGATTCAAGAAAGTAGCCATTTTTTTATTTTTGCTGTTCATGGATATGTGTGTGATATGGACATTTTGGGATCAGCTCTTTTGTACAAGAAGAAACAAATCCAAATCTCAATTTCAACAGTGTCAAAGGCAATAGAACCTTGCACATTGGCTGTTCTTTTAAGTGACAATGTGGCTTGAACAACTTTGTCGTCTGAAAAAAGGGGGCATTAGCAGTGCTTTTCCAGCACATTTGTATTGCAGGAGCAATATAGGAGGCGATTCGAATTGCTTGAAGCGTTTTTACCTTGACTTAACATCTGCAGAAAAAAAATGGTTGAAATAGAAGCAACCAAATCAAAATAGGTTATAACTTTTGTGATCTGACGAAATTTATACGTTCTATGTTCCACGACCGAGCCAAAACCAGAAAGCACCTAAAAATATGTTTATAATCTCTATTGACGATATCGACACTCGAGCCACCAAAAAGGTGTATCTGCTTTCATTCCACATTCTCCTTCGCAATTTCTTTCTGTGGCTCCGGGCGTGGGTGTAGCGTCTGGTACACATTTAGGTGGGCTTTGAAAGGATCTAGCCTGAACATTATTGCCTCATTCAGTTTAAATTGTCCGAATGGGCCTAAAATGCGACAATGTTTACCTGATCATGGGGGCTGTAGCCCCCCGCCTATGACGTCTATGACTATGTCTCCTTCGCAGGGATGGCGCCAGAAAAGAAATGCTGGGGGGGGGGGAGGCTGTAATGTCAGAGTGCCGACAGTGAGTGTATCACCCACAAAGATGTGATATAACACCATTTCCGCTGTGGTAATTCTAGTTCAAAAAATGAAAAAAAATTGAAAAAAAATCAAACAATGAAAATAAAATAAATCACGAAATGGAAGTTATGAAAGTGCCGACATTACTTAAAAATTTTAAAAAATTTAAGTGCCGACGGGGGAGCTTAATGAATTTTTGGGGGAGCTTCTGCCCCCCAAGCACCCCCGGTGGCGCCATCCCTGCTCCTTCGTCTATGACGTCTAGGACTGGTACCGTAAGGCTGTAAACAGTAGAGTCTTTACGCAGGTAGGTACCCAGGGTAGCAAGCAGGCTACTGAATGGCCAAAAATCTTTTCGTATCGACCAGGCACCACAGAGTGTTGAGAACTTGGTGCGGGGGCTAAAACCAATTTAAAAAAGGCTTATTCTGCATTTATTGCAAAATATGGGGCTGCCCCAAGCCCCCTGCTCCTCGGTGCTTGTCGACAACAATAAATGGCTTTGTATTTCCAAAAAGGCCTAATTCTTTGTCTAATCTTTAATCCTCTGTGCCCAAATTTTCATGCCAACTAGCCGATATCATACTGGTGTATTTTCACGAAATTTCTGACTTCTTCCTTTTTCAAAATTCAATTGTTTCTCGAACTTTTGCTTCGAGTGCTGAAGTTTCTTAACTTCTTTCCGATTGACCTGTGCTCGTTTCTTATATGTGTGTAGTGAAAATAGGAGTTATATTTATGATCATTATTTGGCCATCATTGTTTGTCTTTGTGACAGAATTAGTGGAAAATAAAGCTCATTTCAAATTCAAATCTACTTTCGCACGAATTCGATTCACCGTGAATCTCCCACAGAGGTAAACAATTTAAACTTTCCCCCTATTATTGTATCGCCTTTGAGAATGACTTGCATTGTCCGGAAATGGAAAATATTATGCGACGGGGGTCTACATATAATAAAGATAAATGTCACCACAACTTGGAAAACGTAAAAAGCCTATAATACTCTATATGTAGGAATTCTAGCTTAAGTATTCAAGTTAAGGAGTTATATGTACAAGTGAATGGTCAATATACTGAATTGGCGGATTATATTTCTTTGCGACTGCCTGATTCGAGTCCCCCGTCTTCAAGTAGCAATAACATTATCCATATACGATTTCGCTCCTCTCTGGAGTTATCCAAGCATGCCAACTCCGAAGGATGGAGAGTAGTGGAATGTTGCCGTCCAAGCTGATTAATTCTCTTGGCAATCGAGATATACTATGAAAAAGCAAAGATATGGATCATACAGTGTATATTTTATGTTTTGGATTGCTGGTTTTGGTTAATTATGGTAAGAAATTGTGCCTTCAAAGTTTACTACCTTACGTGCATCACTGCCCTATAGTTCGCAAGAAGCCCTTGGACTGCTGGCCCCTTCCCCTTACTCAACCCATACTAATTGTTCCAGGATTTTAGAAATCATCGAAGTTTCCATACATTGATATACAAGGCTCATGACAAACGGATTTATTCTAAACTGTTGGTGTTTTGCTGTGAATTAAACGGGTAGTTTTGGTTTATCGATCGCGTAGGAGGAAGGGACTGGAATGGGAAGAGACAGTTAATTTAGCATCGCATCACAGCATTTCGACTTATTGCAATGCGCTATCTCTAAATAAATGATTGCTTAAAGATTGTAATAGTAACCAGAAACGAGCAAGTGTCCTCACTCTGTTTCTATGATATACCTAAAGAATTTGCTGGTTGCTCATTTGCCTCAGTTTAGAATGATTCAAACTTTGACCGTTAAGCGAAACTTGTAATCCGGGTTGTAAATTATTTATGGGGCCTAATACATGCAGGAATGTTGCCCGATTGCCACCCGCTACTATAGCCTTTGTTTATTAGTTAGAAAGTATTAGAATTTCAGTTGGTAAGGAAATTTCGCTCAGTGAATTTCCGCTGCTGATGAAAGTAAAACGGTTGGACTAAATTTGAAGTCAAATCCATTGAAATTTTTGTGATGGGATACGAAAGGCCTCGTAATATATTGATGGCTGGTTCCGCACCGCTTGAAATCGTCTGGTGATATAAAGTCGAGAAATCCATAACTGTGTCGCACATTTAAGAAATTTTGTGTTAAGATTAATATAGCCACTTTTACTTTGCAATCATATAGTATTATCGTCGGTTTGAAGTAAGATGCTGTGTGACGCTTCTCTTTTTAATTTGGCGGAAATACTTGCAAAGATGTACAAGATCGGGTTTCAAAATTTCGATCACTTCCAACCTTGCTCAATATTCATGCTTTTCTTTTGGATTAAAGGAAACGTGAAAGCCGTCGAGTTTTATACTGTGGCACAATTTGATTCTTTATAACTCTATGGATGTAATGAATTCCTCGATAGCCTTTTCAGTCGAAAGCAAAACATGGACGACTACTGGGGGATCACATTTCTTAAATCTTTGGCGACCTTGTCCTTGTCTTATCTCATTTCTGAAACTATTAACCCCGATTAAGCAACCCTTAATTTGTTTTCTGTGCCCATGAGAAAGAACTTCCTAAACATCAAACAAAGATATCATTTTCATCAAATCTTGACTGCCTCCCCTTCCCCCTCCCCCTCCCCCTCCCTGCACAATTACAAAAAGCAGACCTATATTATTAAAACTGTTTGTTGGCGTGATAAATTTTTCAAGTAATTAGGGGACTGACATTGCTTTTTTCTGTCAAATTTCCAAGTTAAAGAGAAATAGGAAAACATTAAATAGTTATATTAAAAAATACAGTAAGTTTAAATTATAGAAGCAAGTTGTGACAAATAATAAATTAAAAATATATATTTTGACAATTGTCAATAATTGCTTTCATTTATGAGCATTTTTGTTAGCATACTTGGTATATATTTAACCAATTACATTTGTCAACTAAGTATAAATAGATATGACATTTCATTTTAATATTTATTATGTATTAGTTTGACATTAGCAGTAGGCTGCTATTGTGACATAATTCTAAGGTCTTGTTGTTTTGGGAGGGGGAGGGAAGGCTGTTAATATTCCATGGTAGTTGGTCAACTTCCCTTCTAATCAATGGCAATGAAATCTTTGTAATAACAAAGGAATGTGGTTCAATATAGAGCAAAACCACAATGACTTTGCTATTTTGTAATATATTTGAAGTCTCTGTGCAATCAATGAACAATACTTATTTGTGATTTGGCATCAGAGATCATGTCTTTTGCTTGATTTGTATGTGCCAAAAAATTATCATAGCTCTTTCGCAAACATTTTCATAATATATGTGCAAAATCATTTATCATATGGGAAAAGCAAATATTATTGTGCTATTGTTAAGAAAATTTTCTGTATTTGTGTCTGTATTATATGTCCTATTCTTTGTCTTTAGTTGCACTAAAATCTTGAAATTCGTATTAAGTTGTTTTTGATGCAATATAGGCAGAGCTGTTTCCAGTGTAATGAACAGGACAACTCTAAATTGCAACTCTGCATTCATATGATCATTAGACAAATGTTCCTCCGAACTGCCTGAATAGGGGAAATTGAACCATCCTGTTCTATAAAATGAAACATATATAAAACATAATAATTATATGTTTACAGATTTTTTAATATGGGATATTTGAATAAAGTTATTCATTAATTACCAAAGCTTAATCTGACTGTTTTAATTTTCTGTTCCCCTTTGTATATATGTACCTTATGGAATCTGATTTTTTATCAACAGCATTATCATCTTGTCCAACTGTATCCACCTGCCAGAATGGAGGAACATGTACTGTAGTAAATGGAACAGCAACTTGCAGGTCAGTGCATTCTTTAAGTCTATTGATGCCTAAATTTTAATGGTACTAATCTTATTTGTTACCTCATTTACAGTAGTAATCATTTTGTATTGAATTTAGTAGTAATCAAAGTATAAATACAAAACCAATTAAACCATTGATTTTCTTGTTAAAATCAGAGAATATTATTCAAGAGTATTTCAAACAGCAAAAAGGATCAACAGCTGACACAATTGGTAAAATTAAGGGTACACCTATATGTATGACAGTAGGCTGGTCTAAAGCACCAAGTTAAGTAATGAAGGTGAATTTTTAACTTGGTTGCAGCAGGGTTGATTTAAGTGCTGATGAGCTTTAACCTATAATGCTAATTTATATGCAAGACATTTGTTGTGTGGAGATGCTTTCATTTCAAGAGTGTTTTGAGAAAAACTGAAACAGTCTTCCAGAATAGTCTTTCAGTTGAAAAAACATGTATCAAAAGCTTATCTTATGCATTTTTCAGTTTGCCTTAGTTTGTGTATGTGATCTTCATACATGTCTATCAGCTTTATATTGTGATTATTTTGTAATTGTTGCCATTGTGGTGTAATCCTGAAGGAAAAATGACATATAAAGACATCCAAAGCAAAGAAAGATATACCTTTGTGTTTTCAAATTTGGCTATTGTCATATATCACCTTTAAACTGCAGTAAATATAGATTTTATGTGTTCATACTTTGATGTATTTGACCTATAGCAGTCTTGTTGTTCACCCAAATTTTTAGAGATAGAAACTGTGAGCATCCCATACAAAATTATTATCAGAAAGTCCTCTTTAAGCAACACCTCCAATAAACTGACAGATGTTTTTATTCAGAAACTTCCTTCCTGAAGTCAAAGCCTTGTACAGTAGTCACAAACAATAGACACAATCCTACAGTGACTGCCATCTCTGACCCCTCAAGTTAACACTATGGCGAGGTTTTGCTGATAGTTTAAAGCACATAGCTTGCATACTTAAGCTTTGTAACTGAAGGTATAGCTGTCTGTTTCTTCTAATGTTGCACAATCTAGATTATAGATTGTGTATTATTAAGGTATTAAATCCATCATTAGATCTGTATATGCTTGCGAAAAGCAAATGCAAGTATTAGATGCTTCTTAGTACATAAAGGCACAGGTTCATGTCACTGTTCTTAAAATTCTTTAGATTGAATTGTTTATAAGAAGTATTGAATTTTAAGCCAAGCTGATACTTTTATTTTTCAATTAGGCATTGAAGTACCTCACCAAAGCAATCATTTATCATTATTCAGGATTCTCACAAAAGTCTTTTCTTGTTTCTGCTAATAGATGAGTTAAATCAAACTTGTTTACCAATATATATTGTAATAGACTTGACCAAACCTTTTATTCTCAGAAAATCCACTACAAAAGACCATTTTTCTTCCTTGAATGCATTCTTAAGCAAGAAGAAAAGTTTATAATTTGCTGCCTAAGACTGTTGAGTTTCCCTTTATCACCAAAAACGTTAGATCAGAACTGTCAGATTTATGTTTTATATCAGAGCAGAATCAGAAAGTTTGTTGGTTTAATTAACTTCCATGCAACAGACCTAGAGATGCACTTTTCTGAATATATCAAAGATTAAATTTGGAAAATATAGACTTCGTAGAGAGAATAACACACATGACTATGCTATGATCATGTGTAAATCATGTGTAAAACAGGATGGACGAAATTCTAAAACGGGGACGAACATGTTATTGGATTCGTTTATGATTTTAATTGACGTTTTTAATTTCTAAAGGAAAAATTCCATTAAAAGTAATTTGCGGTAGGCAATTTTGCATTTTTTGACGCTTCTGTTTTCGTTTCTTTTGTTTGCCACAGCAGCAAGTTTTCTCGCGTCTACCTTTAAAGGAGACCGGTTTTTGTAATCACCATTCATGATTCGTCTGGTTATCAACCAACAAGACTAGTAACAAACTCGCTATATGAATACCCGGGATCTTAATTTTGTACCTTTTAGTTTGTTTTTACTTGTTGCATAACCAACGAAAGGGTTTTTCTGTGCTCGTTTTAGGGATGTAAACGAAACACTGGTAGTTTACCCTCATTTTCTGTCCCCACCATGACCACACAAGGGTGATTTCGTTCATTTATTTCGGCCTTCTAGCATAAATATTGATAATTTGCTGTATGCAACATTAAAAGATTCGTCAAAGGGTTCCAATCCTTGTCAAAATGCATTCGAGTTTTCCGTATTCGACGCTCTTATTCAGCCTTGAAGTATCGGCCTTTGGTTGTTTTTATTAGCTGAATCATGCTCAGCGCTCACTGGCTGCACCTATATTATATTTATAAGGTCACTTGTTACTAAAACTCGCAAGAAAAAGAGCGCCAAATATTGCTGCTTCATATTGAGACATCCCTCTGTGTCTTCAAATGATATTTGACTCCGTAGTGTAATTGTTTTACAAAGTAATTCCATAGAGATGCGTCAATGCTTTGGAATGTTTCGTTTCCCGAACATGGCAGCATACAATTGCCCTAATTCTTTTCTTATAGGTGGATCATGTTCTTCAAATATTAGCGTTCTCTTTCTAAAGCCTTTTAAGATTGAGAAATTTAACCCTCCTGTGACCATGTACACTACCTCTGCCTATGTTAATCTGCAACCCTATCCTGATGCCTCTAAAAATGTCACTGTGATGCCACTACCCCTGACCCTAAACATTCATTAAGGTTAATAGTGGGATATAGCATTTTTGTTGGGCGTAATGTACCCCGAGGTGGGCGTAATGTACCCCGAGGTGGGCAGGGCCTATTCTTCATTGATTATAGATATAAGGGCAAAGGAGCGGATTGATTTGTCGTTCTTCGTCCAATTCTGACAAGCTGTTGAAATTCGCCTTGATCCAGGATCTTGTCACCGGCCGTCACAAAGAAGTCTCAGTTGTTTTTTAAATTTTGGCTAGCAAATGAAAGACAATCCCAGTACCTCTAATAAGAATGCAAAGGGGTGCAAGGTTAATAAAGTTAAGGTTAAAGCAATCCGGTTTTTCTTTAATTCTGGTAATTGCTTAACTCGTGTCAGAATAGTCTTTGTGTCCAAAGCCTTAAGCGCTGCTTTAGATATGTCGTCAATTTCCAAACAAGTTCATGTTATTTATAAGCTGATATGGGCGATATCGATGTTGAAATTAAATATCTTTCTTTCTTCCTGATGAATTTTCTCAAAGTGAAGAAATTGTGGTTTCTGATATCGATTAAATTCTCATGGGTCAGTTGTTCGTGTATTTATTGATTGCATAAAAAGCTTGGTTATTTGAAACCTCAGTTCGTAGTTTACAGATAAGTGTCGATCACGTTTTCTCTTGTTTACGTTAGTTCTATGTCTAGGAAGAGGAGCTATAGGTTGTCTTAACTCCAAACCCTATTCCCCCGTCCATTACTGATTTATTGCTGGCAGGGTTGATTCTCAAATCAGCAATGTAATTTGGTTTTTATGTAGTTTCACCTTTGTTCTGTGGTATCAGTAAGGATACTGGCTCTACATATTTGGTGGATTCTTTTGGATTTCCTTAATACAGCCGAGGCTTTTTAAATAGCGATACCGCCTAACTACACGATTGAGCTAAATTATTTCTTCCCAAAGCGGTCGCAAGTAGACAAATGTCTGTTGACCTAGAAGTAAAGCCATTGAATAATCAAATGAAAATTACAAAGCTGATTTTGTTATGCGTGAAAATGTATTTCTTAATAGTAGATGGTCGAATCGGATTACGTTTTGAAATTGGCGGTAGCGAGATGACGGCTTATGGTATTACCTTCTTAACAATGCCAGTATATTGGGAATATATAGATCCTCTAACCTGCTCTCTTAACCCATGAATATGAATATTGTTACAAATCCTCTGGTCCGTTCAAGGCTTTCACTCTCCCTGCAACCCTTAATATGTTTAATCCGGAATTATTCTAGATTTTTGTTGATGCTTTTTGCTAACTCCGCTTTTGCTTGTTTCCTCCTCAATTTATCATTTAGTGTCCACACTGATTGTTAAAAAGGAACATTTCCCCGATCCCATACTTGTGGTCAGCACTTCTTGGTAAAATCTATTCAGGTCTTTAATGTTTTTACCGATTTTTTTTCCAGACTGAGATCACCCTTCTCAGATCTAATTGCTGTTTGTTGGAATTTAGGCCTTCACTTGATCGAGGCTATTTAATGAAAACAAGGTCTCGTGCTCGTCAGTTTTCAGAAAAGTGTTAGTTGCGTGTTGTACTTAATTCAAATTGAAACTTCATGTTTTCATATTCCGGTTTTTCATTTCATTTTAAGACCAGCTTAACATCCATTTAAGCTCTTTTTCTGTTAATTCAAAATTTGCTTACTGAATGTTTTGTATTGTGCTGAGTTTGGTTTTCGACATGTTTAGTGCAAGGTAATTCCACTTTATTTGATGTGTGAGGAATATAATCCTACAGACCAGCGTATTACCCTCGATCTTATATATCGTATCCTTGCTTAGGCCCTTTCTGTGACCTTCAATCATTTTGTATTTTCCAGCTGCACACCTCAGTGGACTGGGGCGAGATGTGACCAGCCTGTTGATCGTTGTGCTGATAAACCCTGCAAAAATGGAGGGACTTGTATTCTATTTCATTATTCGCCTTATTATATATGCTCATGTGCTGGCGGGTGGAAGGGAGAAAACTGTACGGTCAATCATGATGACTGCAGTCCAAACCCCTGCCAAAACAATGGAACCTGTATTGATGGGATTGGAAAGTACGAATGTAGCTGTAAAACAGGATTTACAGGTTTGTTTAATTCTCCTTTTGCTATCAAAATCTTTTAGCGCTTATTTTCTGGCTGTTTCAGTATTTTGCTTCGCATAATGCTAGCAACTGTCGATTCAAACTCAATATTTCTGAAAACTACATTCGGTGCGCAATAACTGTTCTGGTTCTAACTCTATTCGGAATGCCACAATACTCAGTCTTTCCTGTGAACATTTTTATTTGCCAATATGGTACATATCGTTTTTCTGCAAACAATCCTTCATAGTTATGCAGCTTGAATAGTTTGATGTGCTAATTGTTGATATGGTGAAGTGAAATTAGCTTAAATTGCTCGTTGTTTCAGGTTTAACATGCAGCTATAGAGACAGTTGTCAATCTGGACCCTGTGGCATCCATGCACGTTGTGAAGTGGATGCCTACGGTCAATATTCTTGCATTTGTCACAGTGGCTATAACGGTACCAATTGTGATCAAGATATAAACGAATGCTACCCAAACAATGGCCCATGCGGACATGGGACATGTGTGAACACAAATGGCTCATATTACTGCAACTGTAAAGTTGGATACACTGGTAAGTACATTCAACAATGCTACGCAAAATGTGGCCATCCTGGCATCGATAGATTTGCTATAGATGTTTTGCAACGCATTTCAGCCAAAGGGATAATATAAACATACAGTTCTTCGTGATTATGGTAGCTATCGTTTAATGTAGCATGAGCTTGTACTGTCTAAAAGCAACTGATAAAATGTCTTCTAAAAGCAACCAACACGAAAGTAAAGGGTCTTCCAAATCGTCTAGAATTGAATCCAAATGGATAAGTTGAATTTGTCTTGCTTTTTGAATACAGACCTTGAAGGATATGTTTTTACAAGTTTAGGTATTTTGGCTTTTTAAGTTTTTATTGGAGCCCAACCAGAGAAATCTTCTAGAGGTATTATGTTATACTGTTTTGTATTAGGGCGAAGATGTGAAATTTTAATAAACGAGTGTAACTCGGCACCATGCGTCCATGGCACCTGTATAGATGACATTGGAAAATATACTTGCTCCTGTAAGCCAGGATACACTGGAGTAAATTGTGAGAGTGAAGTCAACGAGTGCTTGTCAAGCCCGTGCAAGAATGGCCAGTGTATTGACAAAATCAATGGTTTCCAGTGTAAATGTCAGTGGGGTATGTTTAGACTTGTTTTTATCTAACTTGATAAAGCTCCCAGTCATCTTCACGGTTATGTCTGGATACTAAAACTAATGCCATTACCTTGCTATCCTAATGTTGAGATTTAGACATTTTAAGCCACAGAACAAACCAATTGTTTGTAAAACCTAGCATGAATGCGTAATTCTTCAGTGCTGGAATGACGCTTTTAAAGCATTTAAAAAGAGACGTGGTTTTTTTTACGGAATTCGCTTCGTGGCCCCCAGCGGTCCTTTTCCGCGCAGTTCATTGCTTGGAATAAACGTTGTTTACGATTCTTGATTGTTAAAGAACCTTTAGCTGATTCTAGCGACTTTATTCGGATGATAAGTTGGCATAATGGCGTATTTTGTTTTTTAAAGGATATAAAGATGCCGAAAACATCCTAAATCTATCAAATCCTGAAATAAACACACGAAGTTTGATTTGCTCCCCATAGCCAAAAAAATTGGGGCTGGCACTAGTCTATCTACGAATCTTTCGGATCTATTTCTAGTCTACTAGAAAAGGGGCGGGAGGAGAACGTCGCGGGATAGCAACTGCCGTTTCAAGAACCAAGTGTAGTAGTGTTGTATAACATATTAGATGTTTGTTAAAGGCGCTGTCAGGTAACCGTATTAACCTATGTTTGGGCTTACGGGCGCTGTTTTTAAGCCTTGGAGAGATATTGGGCTCGATTTCTATAAAAGACTTAATTGCTGATACTATGATTGTTTTCAGTTTATTCGCTGTCTGTTTACAATTTTTCAAACGAAAAGGATAACCGATAAGAAAACAATCTTTCCAGTGCTGCACGATTTTGAATAAAATGACCATAGAATAGCCGTCGCCGAACTTTACTGCATTTACTGACCAAAGATTTTACCGTATGATAAAATTCTTTGTTCTCAGAAACTATTAATTGCTTTTTTTGGGGCAGTGACGTTGTTCCAACACATAAAGATGTTATTTTTCCATCAACTAATAATATTCGATCCTTAAGCTGCTTTTTATGATTTTCAATCCTTCTCATATTGCTATTAGTGTCATTGACTTGTGTTTGTCGAACGATTGCAAAATCTCCGGTCACTCTGACGTGTTTAGACTTTCCAGTCTCAAATTGTTTTTAAACGATAAACTAGCTCAAGTAGTGCAGAATTTATGAATTTGCAACCTTTGTCTAGGACTGGAGGTTTCCTAGCTTTTTAAGGATGGCTCCTTCAATCGTTTAACTGTATTTTCATATGAAAGAGTAGGATGAACGAAGAATGAGACAGGTTTGAAAAATACCCCCCTTCATTAATAGTAAGTATAAATCACAGGAAAGCGCTGACCATTTTCTTATGGTTTCTTAAAGCTTGCTTCAATTGTCAGCTTCCTTTGGTTCCTAGGACAATCTTCAATATTTTTGGTAACTGGCCGAGAAAAAAAGCGGAGATCTTATTTCTATATTTTGTGAATCACAAGTCTCAATGCCATACTGATGTTAACAGATTTGTTATTTCATTCTTGCCATTTCTAGGATACACTGGTGCAACCTGCGACACAAATATAAACTACTGTGCCATAAACCCCTGTCAAAACAATGGCACGTGCATTGATGGACTTGATCGATATACCTGTCGATGTTTGCCAGGTTACACAGGGCTTGACTGTGAAAACGAAATCAACGAGTGTGCGTCAAACCCTTGTGTCCATGGCAGCTGTTTAGACCGTGTGAACGAATACTTGTGTGTATGCCCAAGTCAGTACACTGGTACTAACTGTAATATCGATGTAAAAGAATGTGACACGAACCCATGTAAAAACGATGCAAATTGTATCGAACTTATCGGAGGTTATAATTGCAGCTGTAAACCTGGATTTACAGGTAAGCCTGCTAGCAATTGAGATCAGGGTCAGCATCTGCTTTTTCTTCTAGTTTATTAAACTTCTTTTTAACCAGGTCTTAGCACTTCATTCTTCGTTGTTTTAATGTTTGACTCAGTTTACGGCCGACTGTTGTCTACTGTATAGGTTTTAAAGCATTAGTTTTCCTTGTATTTATTGATAAACCCATAAACTCTAAGGAGCGGTCATATTAATTGTTTGAAATCCTTTACACAGGTGTCAACTGTGAGATAAACATCAACGAATGTGCCTCCAATCCGTGCTTACAAGGCTCAAGATGCACAGATGGTATAAACAGTTTCGTTTGCGAATGTAAACTTGGATACACTGGCAAAATTTGTGAAACACAGATCAACGAATGCCTGTCTAATCCCTGCATGAATGGTGCAACGTGCTTTGACCGACTGGGATTTTATGACTGCACATGCGCACCGGGCTACACTGGTACGAAACCGCATTCATTATCTTTTTTCACGATATCAGCAAGTAATGTCACATAGAACTTGTCATCTGAGATTGTTTCTACTTTTCAAGCATCAGAATTTAATTTTGACATATCTATCATATTTTGCTAATTGGTTATGTAAATGTATTGGCATATATTGAACTTTAATAAATGTATATTGCTTGTTTTTGTATGACCTTTATGTCAATATTGCTTTATGACAACCTTTTGTCTAATCGTTTTCAGGAAAGCGTTGTGAAACAAGAAACGATAACTGCATATACAACCAGTGCCAAAACGGTGGAACTTGTCAAAGCAACCCGACAGGGTATACTTGTACGTGCCCGTCAGGGTATTCAGGGACATTCTGCGAAAATAATATCAACGAATGCACGCCAAACCCCTGTGTGCATGGCAACTGCACTGATCTGGCCTATGATTATCATTGTATTTGTAAAGATGGCTATACCGGCAAGAATTGCACCAAAGATGTGGACGATTGCTATATAGGGTAGGCTATACTGTTGTCACCCTGGCTTATCCTCCCGTTGGGACCGATTCCCAGGATTTACATCCCCTTCCTTTCAAACATATCCAATACTCGCCAGATGTGCCACTTTATTTCTTTTGTGGTGACAAAACTTTGTAGGACCATGGGAGGCTGTTTTTGTCACCTGTCTGAATTACATAGGATGATGGTGTTCTCCTTAGGGGGCATAAATGTATTGGTCAATTCTTCATAACTAAATGATCTCTGATTGACTAAACACGGAATGTTAGCTCAATGACATTTTGTATGTATGCCAGCCTGCCTTTTGAAACACAGTAGCTCTTCTGCTATCAAAGCTAGGTAGATGGATATTTGCCCAAGATTCTGTTCTTTAAAAATTGTGCGATTTATAAGAAACCTGTTTGGTCCTTGAGGAGGTATCCACTCGGTAGTGTCTTCTTCTTATCCAAACAGAATACCAGCTTGCTTTTTATTTTATATTTTGTTGATTTTGTGGTCTTCGTAGCTTTAATTCAATCAATTTCGCCTCTTCTTGAATAGGGCTTGCTTCAATAATGGACAGTGCATAGATGGCATCAACACGTTCCGGTGCATCTGCCCTGTTGGTTACACTGGCAAGCAGTGTAGCAAGGAAATAGATGAATGCAGTCTGAGACCCTGCCAGAATGGTGGAAAATGCCACGACAAAATTGGCAGTTATGTCTGTGAATGTCCCTTCGGTTTCACGGGAACTAATTGCGAATCTTACGTTAACTGGTGCAGTCAGGGTATATGCCAGAATGGAGCCACCTGCTCCCAAGTTGGTGCCAATTTTTCATGTAGCTGTAGCAATGGATGGACAGGAGCGATTTGTGATGTACCAAAAATATCTTGTGCTCAAGCACAAGCGAGAGGACTAGGCTGTCATAATGGCGGTACATGTGTAAATACCACTTATGGGCATTTCTGTAGGTGTGCGTCAGGATATACTGGATCGCACTGCCAGATTAACATTAATGAATGTGCCTCCCATCCATGTTACCATGGAGGGACATGCAAAGATCTGTTGAATGGATACTCATGCACATGTCGAAGTGGGTTCTCAGGGCCTAACTGCAACGTACGTATCGACGAATGCACTTCAAGGCCATGCATGAATGGTGGTACGTGCGAAGATGTTGTCAATGGTTACATATGTAGATGCCCAACAGGTTTTGAAGGGCCAAACTGTGAACGAAGACATAATTACTGTCATAAAGGTGCATGTTACAATAATGGAATTTGCATGTCTGGCACCAACTGGTACCGCTGCACATGTCCTGTTGGATATACTGGTCCACGTTGTGAGACTGATTTTAACGAATGTCTACAAGGTCGTTGTTATGAATATGGCACAAAGCAGTGTATTAACACTCCAGGTAGTTATGCCTGTATTTGTAAAAGCGGTTTCGTTGGAGAAAACTGCGAAATTAATCAAGATGACTGTTTGAGTGAACCTTGCTTGAACTCTGGATATTGTATAGATGGAATAAACAATTACACATGCCACTGCCCCAGAGGTTACAGTGGAAGAAACTGCGAACGAGTTGTGCGCACCTGTAGTGACAACCCGTGCCAAAATGCTGCCAAATGCTCAATGGTGGGCGACAAATACATGTGCCATTGTAAGGTGGGGTTTGAAGGCACTCACTGCGAATACAATGAAGATGCCTGCTTGTCCAGTCCCTGTGCTCATGGCTCTTGCGTCGATACAGCGGGTGGCTATGAATGCACATGCAGACCCGGCTGGCGTGGGAAGAACTGCTCGGAAAGTCTCAACGAATGCGCCTCGAATCCATGCTTAAACAACGGCATATGCTCTGTCTCTCTCAGAGGTTTTACATGCATGTGTAAAGGTATGCTAATTCAATGACATCCAAATAGTTAGGAAACAGTGCTCAATATTATTGTCCCTTTTGTTATTGCTCTTGTTTAGTTAAGACATCAGTGACAGATTTAACAAGAACACAGCTTTGCTTGCATGTTGTTTTAAAAATCCAAAATAACGCAAAGAGATCCAAAACATTGCGCGAATTCGGGCTTCTTTCCCATAATCAGGTATATTTAGGTTTCTAACTTGCTGAACTTTAAGCCAGCATTCAATATAGCAATTTTTGATTGAAAAACTTTTGTAATTAGTTTTGAGCGAGTTTTAATATTTTTCGGATCTGTTATTCTTGGTGGCTTTAGTTGTTTTGGCAAGATTTACCTTAGGGCTGAGATCACGAAGAAAAGTAAAAATGACAATGCGGCAGCTTCTAGTCTAATCAATACGCGAATCTTCCCATTGGAACTTGACAAGAGTTGCTTTCATTCAAGGATCAATTTGAATAATTCAGCCAATTACAGTATGCCCCAAAGTGTGTGGTGTATAACTAAGTTTGGATTAAGTATATCATAAACCTTTAGTTTGATTGTTTTCAAATTTTCCAAATAGCTGGATTCACGGGAGATCGATGTGAAAAAGTAAAGGCTTCAAATGGCACATCCTGTCCCCACAGCGACTGTTCAACAAAGTTTGACGGTGGACAATGCTTGGTAAGTCTTTATAATACTTTTATAATAACAGGATGTTTTTATGTTATTTGTAGCTAAATCAATTTTAGATACTCCTTCATCTCTTAATCCTTTTATTTAACAGAGATTCCGATGGCCTCACGAATCCGTTTCAATAGAGTTATTTATTCAAATCGCGATTTTTGTGTTGGAAACCCTGCTCTTGTCTCGCCGGAACCACGGAATGACCATATCCGGTAGCATTCTCGTATCTGTAATCCGGTATTCCAGACTTTTCCATTAATAACGTAATTCTGCATCCACCAACACAGACATGCCATTGGAGATTGCACTGTAGCTTCAAAGGGCTTTTTATGGAGGCTTTACAATTGTCGTCTGTCTGTCAATTATAAATTAGTTCAGTGCCGTCGGAACGAAATTCATATTGGGGGGGGGGGGGGGGGGGGGGGTGGAGGAGGCTGCCCATTGTATTCCTTCTCATTCAGTAAACTGTTATAAAAGAAACATACTACAGTTTGACAATTATTGGAGGGGCTGGAGCCCCCCCCCCCCCCCCCCCCAAGGGCATCTGCCGTGCTGCGTAAAGAAAAGTCACATCAGTAACTCATCAGCCTCATTTCTCATTCCGATAATCAACTGTATCCGAGTTTTCGCGCCCTCGCCTCTTTTAAAGCCAAGCATTTCAGTTGTCACTCGCCGTCGGTTTTCTATGTATGTTAGAATAATTTCCGCTTTTCATTAGCTTTTATTTGTTGTTGTTTTTCTGATTACAATTAATTCATATGGCAAAGAATGTTAGGAAAGTTAATTGCCAAAACCAAACGTGTTGAATTAGAAACGGAAGTAGGCTGTGAAAAATGATAATAAGAAAAAATTGTTTTATTGATTGATACAAATCCTATGCCTTCGCATTGTGTGCGAGGCAGTTTTATTAATACTACCTAGCTTATTAAGTTGTTGGCCTCGCTTCAAGTAAATTTGAGGGTGAATTCACTGCTATATCTGGCACTTGCTTTAGAAGAGGGGAGGTAACATGACAATTGTAAGTGGAGACTTTGAGCAGTGATTAGGACGCTTTAAGTGCTCTTATCAGGGCTTATCTTTCCTTGAAGAGTTTTTGAGTGAACCAGATGGTTTGTCCGGAAAAGTGGGTGCCATTGAGCCAGATTTTGTCAGTAGAAATATCTGCGATAGCTCACTACTTAAGAATGAATGGGTTTCCTGCATGAAATATGCACATCTCTTTCATCGTGTTATCGCTTTACAAAGCATAGTAATCTTGAAGATTAAACTAGACTTTCCGCTCATCTGCCAAGTAAATTTTCTCACATTCTCTTGTTTGATCTAACCTCGTACCTGTATAACACAAATGGAGCGTTGTTCTTTCTAAACAGGGGTGAAAACTCGTCTTAGCTTGTTATGCTAATCATCCCCGCAGTTATTACTTTTAAGTTCATGTACGTCCATTGACATGATAGGCTGGAATCGCGTTATCGTTTGTCTTTAGGTGACCCAGATACTATTTGCCGTCATCGCAAATTTCAATGCAATACCAAAACTTGTACTTGTGTCTTGTTCTTTCATTTATTATTGATCCTGATGTGTAATTTTGTAGGCTTTTACTTGAATTTGGGGCAAGGGAATCGCTTGAATTTTAGAAAACAACTTGCTACTCGTTCTGCTTTTCCTATAGTATTTCTCTCCTGCTGACTACTACACCATAAAGAAATAACAAGCTTGTGTGTGTCATCATTAATCATTTTTCCTTTGCCAATTACATGCATGTTTATTTCCTTCAGTTGAATGGAACAAAACGCTACTTTATTACATTTGCAAATGGATTTTGTTATCAGAAAATGAAAATGATTTGCTGTGATGTACATGAACATAGAGTAAAATATACTTTTTGTTTCTGGCATATAAACATGAACTTTCTCACGCTCCACTTTTGTCCACTGCGCTAGCGGTCAGAAGTCAGTTATCTGATTTCTATAATTAAAAACCACACAACATAGGCAGGTGGGCACTTTCTCTAATTTCAGAGCTAGTCTTACGGCGGACGTCTCCCTTTTTGCTATAGGTTGATGAGCAAGATATCTCAACCGGTTGATAGGTTTTATTCAAGAATAACCATGTCAGAATAACACAAATGTAGAGAAAAAAAATTAAATTAGAGGCTTTTACGATATCTATATACATAAGTATATGAATTCGACTGCCTCAAAATCCAAATAATGGAAGGTAATAATCGGCAAACAGGTCTAAAAGTTTTGGGCTCGAATGGAATACCTTGGTTATAAGAATGCCTATAAGTATTTATAAGTAGTAATTAGTATTTCCTGGCGTAAAAACACGAGACGTGATCATATCGAGAGTCAGGACATGGGCTCTGCTCGATAAGCATAGCCTCTTAGTGTCCCAAAATTGCCATCAGAAGCAACATAGCAACAAATAAGATAATTTCCACATTTAACATGCACCATCAGTTTTAGTAAAACAATTTTTGTCAGATATAGCAAGAACACCTTGAGGAGTAGAATTAACGCTGATTCAAATCACATCCCAGCGAGAAACCAAAAATAATGCGAATCAAATAGGATCAATTAGAAATATTTGCAAAAGTAAGACAATTTGTCTCCTAGATAGTGTAGTTTTATCTGGAGCTACTGCATCTTTTAAAAATAATTTCCAATTTTAGGAGAAATGTAACAACCAAGAGTGTCAGTGGGACGGAACGGACTGCACACTAAGCCGTGATCCATGGCTCAACTGCAGTGTTGTTGATGTAGAATGCTGGAAACACTTTGATAATGGCGTTTGTGATAAAAAATGTAACAATTCCGGTTGCCTCTTCGATGGTCACGACTGCTTCAGTAATGTGGGCACTTGCAAGTAAGTGTATCGAAGTTCTTTACATCATTATTAAAAGACCAGCTCGTGATATAGTGATTTTGAATGATTTCTGTTTGCATTTCGTGATATTATACCCCTAAAAAGACTCTTTTGGTATCTGGAAAATATGTCAAGAAATGTTTCGTTGTTCAATAAAATATTATCATGCTATCCACATTGCATTATGTGTTATTATTCTGTTTTGCAAGCATTGCTTTGAAATATTGGTTTTTTGGATATTCATCATAAGCAATTTTATAAAGTTTAAATAAACTTTATTTTCAGGTATCCAGTTTTTTGTGAAGCTACTTATGGCAATGGAAAATGCGACGAATATTGCAACAACGATGCCTGCGGTTATGACAATTTAGAATGTGGAAGCAACAAGCAAAAATTGGTGAGACTTTACTGACGCCTATCAAACCTATTGCATGAAAGTTTAATGGAAAGTGTTTTAGACATGGAAATTGTGAATTTTTCTTCTGTATATTATAGTCAGATGAGTGAACCTTCAAGTAGTTTTATAATCATAAAATTACTTTTTAGCTACCTGGAATTTTGAAAGTGGTGATAAGTGCTTCTGAGGAGGAGGTGCGGCGCCTGGCAAGACTATTTGTTCGTAACCTAAGCATCAAACTGCGCACCCATGTGTATATCCTCAAGGATGAAAACAACAGGGACAGGATTCGTGCCTTAACTAACGATGTAACTTCGGCCAGAAAGCGCCGAGACGCCTCTTTGTTTGCTTTGATATCACACTCCAGGGTTAAAAGGCAGGCAGGCAAAAACAGGTATATTTTATTTTCCCCCTTACCGTATTTGCTTTTTTATGCCTAGGATACCTTGAATGTTTTAAATGATTTGTGCTGTAGATTTCTGGATGTCTTCTGTTCTATGTCCCATATTGTTATCTTATGGGGTCAGTAATATTCAAATTTGAATGGACGTTTCAAAGAGGAATTTCATTACTTCTTTACACTAGCGATGTTCTCTACTCAGATTTTTCTTCAAACTTCTTTTTCCTGAACTTGGCTTACTTTTAAGATTTGTTTTCCTATCACGATAACAAAACAGCTCATTATTTCAACTAATTGTTTCGTATGGTGATTGTCATTCTAAACTGGTGAATTTCTTTTAGAACGGAGATACTGCTGGGTGTTGACAACCAAAAGTGTACGCAAGGATGCTTTACTGATGTAGACCTTGTAAGTTTCATGTTAAATCTTACTTTTTGTAAGGTTAAATGCTGCAATGATATGTCCTTTCGGACAATAGCCTAGAATTGGTAAATATTGTCAGATTTGGCTGTCCGTGTCTTAAATGTATAATGTCTTTTTCAGATCGCCAACTACATTGGAGCATTACAATCGAAAGGAAAGTTGGATTCGAACCTTCCAATTTATTCTGTCACAGGTAAGACTCAAAAAAGTTTACTTCGGTGGTAGAAGATAACTTTCGAAAAACAGAGGTATCAAATATTTGGAAGAAGTGAAAGTAAACGACCAATGTCTTGCGCCTTTGATACCAGATCTCTATTCAGCCTTTGATACCAGAGAATTTTCATTTCAGGGGACAAGGCTAAAGTTGAAAAGGAACGAACTAAGGAGCCTCTGGCCCCACTCTGGATCTTGCTTATTTGCATAAGTGTTCCATTGCTGGCATTTTCTGTCCTTGTTGGTGCTAAGAAGTGTTCCAGTCGTCTGTGGGTGCCACGTGGATTTGTTCTTTCAAGTGGATTGGATCAGGGAAACCTGCCAAGCACAGACAGATCCGATCCAGTTGGCCAGGAATATAGCTTGAAGTATGGCTTGTCACTTATCTACTTTTCAAAAACTAAAATGATTCTTGAAAAATTTAGTATGAAATAGCTAATAATAGTGGGGTGGTATTAGTTTGGTTTTCTCTTCTTCGGTTTTTCCCTTAACATCTAATGAGAACACCTTTATCCTGTAAGTCCTAATTTCTATAGTTAGAGTATTTCATTATATCCTATCCTCCTGAGAGGCGTTGTTTCGACTTCAACACTATTGAATATGGCACAAATGTAATGGTTGTAACATTGTCATTTCATCGTTTTTTGTCTTGTTGAAGGTCGTTGAAACCAGGTGATCGTTCTTCTGCCGAGTCCATAGCATCAGCTGCTTGCTCTTGGAATACACCTCCCAGTCCGTCGAGCAGCATTCACGATCAGAAACTGGTATGCTTAGAACCGTCACTTGAAGGATGTAAACAAATCCACGACGACAGAACTTGGACAAGCCTACACAGAGAGGCGGCAGATTCACGCCACTTGGGACTTACGCCACCGCAGGGCTCGTTTGCATCTTCTGGTCGCTACCCAGATATCAATGTGAGAGGACCTGGGGGTTTGACTCCGCTTCACGTAGCCGTTTGCCGTTCGACTGATTTTAGGGATAGCTATGATGATGACAAGGACAGTGAGGATAGTGCAGAAGGGGCTGTGGTACGTTTTTTTCGTTCAGCCATCTTATGTTCGACTGTCTTATTCCGCCACTTTAAACCCCTCTCCAGTAGATGTGTTGAACTGCAACCGCCAGTTTTTGTTGTTAAAGGCAGATTTCTGCTTTCTTATTAATTTTGATCGTGATATAAACAGCATTTTTGATCAACAAGTTTTATTTGTATCAAGCTTTTCGTTTCGTTTCATTTTCTTTCATCAGTATTTCTATTTTTCCAGTCAAGTGTTACTCATGGCGGTAACTCGTTGGCTACTTGTCCCACCTTGCAGCGAGTGACACAATTTAGTTGTATTCTGTCTTGTCGATACTTGCTCCTTGCCTTAATTCTCATTCTTTGACTGTTAAATTATACAAGCACCTTGCTTTTTGCAGGTCGAAAACTTGTTATCCAACGGTGCCAATCATTCAGCTCGTACTGATATTCAAAGAGAGGCTCCATTGCACTTGGCCGCAAGGCACGGAAACGTGGAAGGGCTGCGAAAACTCCTTGAAGGTGGTGCTGATGCCAACGTGCGTGATATTCATGGACGAAGTCCGTTGCATTTGGCAGTATCGGCAGATGCTGTTGGAGCATTAAGGTAAGAGAATTGTTAGATCGGAAACATCGAGTTTAAATTACAATCAAATTATGTTCTGAAGTAATTATAGTTTTCTGAACCCAAAGTATTTAGCAAAGATTGATTGTTTGTTTTAAAAGCAAGATAATGATTGTTTCAAGTCAGTGCTGAGAAGCATAGAGGAATAATCTCTTGATGGGCTGCAGCTTTCCCATTGATTTCTATAGCATGAGGCTAATTTGTATAAATTCAAAATGGTAGCGCTTTAGCCAATCAAAAGATTTTTCCGCTATGATGTGCTGAGATATATCCTGCATCTTTCTCGTTTAGCGCAAACGATATAGTTTAAGTCCAAGACGTAAGCAACAAGCTTTTGATAACCAAGGTCTTTATTGCGTTTTGTGTATTACCAAGCCTTTGTTTTTCCGTAGCTTCTGATTAAGCACCGAAGTACCATAATTGATGCTCAGAGTTTCGATGGAAGCACTCCGTTGATGGATGCTTGCAGGTTTGAAGTGAATTCAATGGTCGAAGATCTTATAAACACTGGAGCCAAAGTTAATATAACAGATAATCAAGGTAAGTGTTTCACTTGAAATGGGTTCCTGTATTTCTTTGATTATAAATCGAAGTCGCACCAAGTTATTCGTTTCTGTGTCTGTGTTCACATATGAAGTTTATTTCTCTTAGGACGAACCGCATTGCATTGGGCCGTATCTGTTGATAATGAAATAGCGACGATGATATTGACAAGGAACGGCACCAAAGTTGACGCTGCAGACAACAAGGTACGTTTCCACGGGCTCAGTAAACATGTGTTTTAGGTAAAGTAATTCTAAACGCCTGAAGACTTTGCGCTTGTTGAACTAATTTGTTATATTAGTATTGACTTTGTTAACATACTGCATCAGAGGCGAAAATTAAGTTTTTTTGAGCAAGGGCAAGCAGAGTGCATTTTCTGAATTTCTGGTTAGTGAGACATTTTCCCTTCTGTTTCCTATACAAAGAACATCTGGTTTTTAGGATTAATTTTCCAAGCCATCCAAGGAAGGGGGGGGGGGCAGTTGCACAACCTGTCCCCAAACCCTTAATAATTTTCGTTTATTTCTACTGTATCGATCATCTCTAGGACGTAGGCTATCAAGTAGGCTTCCACAAAGTCTGCTAAGCGGGCTTCGCCAGAAATATCACAACAAATTCAAGCTTTTTCATTCTGCTAAAACTTCATATATTTGTTATCAATATTTTGAATTAACAGTCAAAGATTTCAATAGTACCAAGGCTTAGCTTATTGTTGAATTTGTTTGACAGGGGCAAACTGCGTTATACCTGGCTGCAAGGGAAGGAAGCTTGAAGTCTGCAAAGATTCTTCTACTTAATTTTGCCAACAGAAATGCAGCAGACAACATGGATCAATCTCCCATTCAAATTGCTCGGGAGCGAGGCCACCATGATATTGTCGAGTTAATATCTGATTGGACCATAGGGGCTAACTCCCCTCCGAAAGTTCCAGGTCCCACTTCACCAGAGTCACAGAAAAGCCCGCATATTCACCATGGCCACCCCACACCGCCGCGAAGTACAACTTCCCCGCCGAACATGATCCGACCAAAGATTAACAATATAGCACCAAAGATCCCAAGATCTCATATACCAAGGTCTCACGCTCATGCAGCCCACACACAAGCAAACACCCAGGGATGTGCGCCAACTGTCACCGACAAATGTCTCAACGGTGGTTCAAGGCGACCACCAAACAAGCGAAAGCGCAAGTCCTGTACCAAGGCTGCTCAGCACCCTCCAAGGGCCAAAATTAATGGATATGACATGAATTTGAATGGTACATCAGTAAATGGGTACGCACCAAATATATCTATGTCACATGCATTAACCACAGCACCTACGCTGTCACCACCACGTGCAGAGGTTCCACCAAATCGCCTTGTTAAAGTGCCTGTTGAGCGACACTCGGGTCATGGAAACAGAGGTTCTCTTCCTGAACTTTCGGAAAAAGATATAATGGAGGGCCTGTCGTTGTTTGCAACACATGGTTGTTTGGAAGACTTTCCGCCTAACTGGGATAACGAGGAGACTGCCTTAAACCCCCAGGCTCATCATCAAAGTGTCCCGAACATAAATGGGAACGATTCTTTAAGCATAAGTGCTTCACTACCAAACTCGTCCATAAGGCTTAATGACGTTAATATGCAAATTGTCTCACACAATAATGGTGCTAGACCAAAGTTTCCTCGAAGCAGTGACAACGATCCAATGTCTGCAAACCATTATCTACACATGATGTCATCAGGTGATAATACGTGCGGGACGGAAGCAATAACGTATTCACATGATATGCAGTTGCATATGTCAAACGATTTTGAGTATGGACCCTGTAGAGATACTCATTTACAAAGACAATTGCACCCAGAAGGGGTGTCGTTCTTGCAGCAGTTCCCCACTCCCCCATCAACGCACTCAAGTGCATATGTTTCATCTCCCGGCAAAAGTATATCACCGCAAGACGGTAACGTGGCAGCTAGTTTCTTGACGCCGTCTCCTGATTCACCCAAGCGCAGTCCAGGGGGCTGGTCCACGTCTCCACAGTCATCTTCAGAATCTTCAGTCTGTTAAGTGGTTAGACAGCTAGGCAATACTGTCTATATGCGAGGGGAGCGAACTGCAGACAGTCTCAGTGGGATCTTGCAGCCAATGCTTCTGTATCCATATACAATAGAAGACATGTGCTGCTGTGCAGCTTAATGTTGAACGTTTTAAGACGTTCCAAGTTATTTGTACGATTTCATTTTGTTGTGAATCTCACAAAAAACGATTGGTCTTATTGAACTATTGGAAAGTTGAAGACCAGCCTGCTTTGCAAGTCAGGATTTCTTCTGATATTCACAAGGAGAACAATTTGATATGAGACTGAATACAATGTATATAGTTATTTTGTCGTTGCTCATATAATTTGACATCCAGCTATGTTAGACAAAGGAGTAGTTCGTCACTGCCATAACACAGAAGTGTCCATTTGGTCAGTGAATTGAATATTGCTTTTGATTGTAGTGCTACAATGTTCTCACACAATGCTCCATTAAAATGCCTGATAATGTGGCCCCATTCACACTGGCATCAGGACAGCTGAATCCGTTTCCCCAATATTCTTCTTTCGCTGAATGTTCATCAGAGACCACTAAGTGCCTTACAATGTCATAAACTGGCATTTAAGGTTTGAATATTCCCAGATGTCGTCTTGAACGTAAATTTCGTTCTGTCTTCCTAGAAGACACCAACATATTGGTAGCGCCTTGATTGTAAGTATAAAAATATAAGACAGCGTTCTAGAGAGGAAATTGCCCTTAGCTGGGATTATGCAGAAGTTATAACTCAGGAAACTGACGACTTCACCATTACAGGAGCCTGGAAATAGAGTGACGTATTATAAGAATTTATTAGGTTTGTGCATGTAAATTGTATAAAGATATATATCGAGTTTTATGTTGATTTAGGACGTTTTGTTGAAGTAGTTCAGTTGATTTAACTATAAGACTATATCATATTAACATAAAATCAATTAATTTTTAATAACTCATGTGCCTCTTCGCTTCATCGAAGCTTTTTGTAGCTGCAATTTATGTTGTAAATGATTTGTTGTTTTAGATTGAAACTTCGCATGTTTTGATTCAGACTAATCAGTTTTTAGATCATAATTATATGTAATCATTTTTTACCTTTTGATAACTTAACTGATTCGCATTACATTAATACCCCATTCCTAGCATCTGAGCCACATTCAAACTTTTCACTTTATGATTTTTAAATACGATAAATATAATGTATATTTTATGACAACCAGGAACCAACTAGATTCCTAATATTTTTGTGATGCCTTTCGTATGTTTCCACAGTTCTACGGGTTAGACTCATCTGCTTCCTTATACAATAAGCTCTACTGTTTTTGTTTAATTTCGCCAAATCAAAGCCATCCACACAAAATGAAAAATCTTTACCCGGAGGAGGCAGCTGTGTAACTCAATAATTCCAAAATCAAATCCAAGTGCTGCTCTTTATTGTTTCTTTAAGATGCCTGACAACAGTAGCTTCCAGTTTAAGATAAAGCAGAAGTTTTCATTTACTTTTCTGAGGTTTTGTGTAGCAATAACAGTGATCTGGAAATTATACTTTTCGATAGCCATACGGAATATACAGACGAATGCACTCCCGCCCCAGTGTTTTTTTGTACTCCAGTCTATTGTATTTCAGTTTTCTTGACGCTTATGTAATGTTTCATAACTGCAGTCAAATTTAGAATTAATTTTGCGTAAATTTCGTATTGTATTTTTGTAGAAAAATACCAAGGAGCACGAAAAATGGAAACTTTGTTTTTATATTCTAGAATCTTTATTTCGTTTGCGAGGCAATTAGAGTTTGTGTCTTTTCCCATAGGAAATATTGCCGATTTAAATCAAACGGCTTAGTTTGAAGAGTTTTTTGGAATGATATGTAACATTTTCAAGAATACTTTACAAATTCCCGCTCTGATTGCCAGCGTAAGCCATGTTGGATTCTTGCTTTGTTCCGTAATGTTTCCCGGTAGTCTCATCTTGGATCAGAGGCACAACTGCTGGCGCGAAGCAGTAATGGCGTCAGCAAAGTATTTTGCTGGACATGATTTCTGATATAGAATACTTTCTCAAAATGGTGGCCATTTACAAAAGCAGAAGAAAACCAACGTGGTATGTGTTTATTTTTGCAATTGAGTTTACCGATAACTTGGATTGATCATGTCAGCAATGCAGAAAAAACAACAGAAAAGTAGGCCGGATCCGGACCCAAAGCCGACAATATTTTGGTGAGACATTGACGACAGTGCCTCCCTTTAATAGCGAAGGTCTTTAAATACACTTGTTTCTCCCGCAATTTAAAATTTTGTGAAAATATCTTAATCTTCATCAGGCCATGGATTATTTATGATCATTATAACAATTGACTACAACGATGGCCTGCAAGAACATAAAAGACACATGGCCTAGTTACAAAGTAGAATGATAGCTTGCTGAACGGATTTAATTGTAAAGAAGCCTTCAAGCTATAACTCAGAATTCAGCATACTACGACATGAGAAATCAGTGGGAATAACAGTGTAATGTTTTGAAATATCTAGAAAAATTTGGTCTGATTTGATGGTTGTTTTAGTTGGAAAAAAGCTTAAATGAAGCTTTGATTAATGCATTGAGTAGACCCTTTTTCCCAAAATTCAATTCCAATTTATTAGGTCATGATTACAATTTACCAATATGAAATGTCACTGCACGGGCTGATTATTCGGTATTACCCAGTGGCCAAAAAGTAATTAGTTAATGAGCATATGACCGGTATATGATTAAATTGTAAACATTAAGCAAAGTAAGATATGATAGATGCAAGATACGATCAAAGTTCGGATGTATCATTGTGTCATTTAATTGTAATTTGCTGAAAGATGCAAAGCTTACAGGTTTTTGACTGAGTACGCAACTTTCTACAGGGGCTTCAAGATAAGAGCTTTTTTAAAAAAGAAAACCCCCTTTATATGTCATTAAAGAAAGATATTGTCTACAACAAAATCAGTCTTGTCTTTGAACTTTTGAAAACCCTGCACAGTTTGAGGAACTAATTTCCGTTTTCTTGTGTTCGGTTTAAAACGGGGCAAAGTGAACGAAACGATGGAAACGTTTAGTTTAATTGTGTCCATATCGGTAGTTCGTAGTTTTAAAAACATTTTAATTTGCGCAACACAGATTCACGAATAATATTGTTTCTATAGCAGTAAATAATGGGATTTAATGAACTGTTAAGGTAAATGAAACACGATGTCCACGAAGAATAAAGATATCCAAATACTCCGTTTTCCTGAAATATATGATGAAACCCAAGGGTGATAGTAAAAGGGATGTAACAAACTGTAAGTGTTAGTATTATGATGGCAATAGTGATTGCTCCACGTTTTTCATTTGAATCTGTAGAGGCTCCTTTGGAACTGCTTTTAGCACAAGAAGAAATTTGCAAATGAAAGCTTGATGACGAACAGCCTCTTGGTCTGGAACCCTCTTTGCAGTTTTGAGCGCATGCGACTTCACCTTCCCTCTCTGATATGCTTGCAACTTTTGTTTTCTTATGAAAGACCTTTAGATCGTCTTTGCTATTCTTTGAGGAACATTTGGGGTTAGTTATCGTATGATTTCCATTGCTCTCAAGCTTGTTTTTATGAATGACGTCATCATCAATAGCAGATCTGATTTCAGCATCAGTGTTGCAGGGTGAAGCGATAAACCCTTCTATTTCGTTTGGTTGTCTTCTTGTAGTATCTTTCAATGGATTCGAAATATTGTTCGTTGTTTTACACGTTTTTAAAGTTGTATCGAACTTCCCCAAATTAACTAAGCGTGCTCTTCTGCTCTGTCGAATCACTGTTTTAAAGATAATTGCGTAAGATACCAATACTACGAAAAAAGCAATAGCAAACCCAGTTGAATTCACAACCCAGTATGTGTTCTCTTCGATAACCTCAAAGGCCATTAGTATGTTTGCAAAGATCGTTCCTGTCCATATTGGAACCAAAACTTTGGTATAAAGAGAGAGGGAAACTATCCGTTGGTACTTATATGGTGACGAAATAGCAAAACATCTGTCTATGCTTATAACTGCCACGATAATTACCGAGATACTGCTACCTGTAAAGGCAAATAATGTTGAAATCTTTTTCAATATGCAGTTGTGTACGCCTGCGGCCTCTTGCGCGTATTTGATTACGAACAACGGTTGTGTTACGCAACCAACAAACAGATCAGTCAAACATAGATTTCCAAGAAGATAATTCGACGAGTTACGTAGCACTGGTGTTTTGATAAATGTCCATAAAACAAGAAGATTACCAACTGTTGCAACAACAGAGAACATGACATTGAAGACTGCCATGGCAATGGCATGCATGCGCACAGAAGCCGTGAAAGTGATGTAATAACTGCTATAACCTATACAAATAGGACTTGTATTAGCAGCTGTTCCAGTTGTATTTGCGAAGCTCATATCTAAACAGCGTTCTTCTGCGACAACGCGTTCTGTAAGAAATATAATTTGAAGTTAGTTTTACTTGACAATACAGATAGTATGCACATATTTTGTGTTAATCTATCTCCAGTAATAAAAAATCTTGGTTTACCAAACATTGAAAAAAACTTGCTATGAAACTCTAGCTTTCGAGTGAATTCTTTCTTTTCGTAGCTGAAGTTTGAATTATAGGTTTTCGTGATACTTTTGCATTGCTTTCTTCTACAGAATAAACATTCTTTTTAGGAAAACAAACTCAAGAGTAGTACCCAGCTTCTCATTTTTTGCTAATTTTAGTACTAAAGGTTCCTGACAGTTAACTTGATAGAATAAAAATAACAAATAAACTTGCAGAGAAAGAGAGCTCAACACAAGATAAACCAGAAAACCAGTCACAAGTTCTTCTAAACACGTGATCTGTCAGAATCAGGCACCTGATCTTCTAAAAGAATAATCTTCAAAAGAAATTGTGCGAGGATGGCTCAGTTGTTAGAGGCGCTGACTACAGACCCAAGGGTCTGTGGTTCGAGTCCCTGGCATGACCAAACTTTCACCCAGAGTGGGGAGAGTCGCCAGCTCTCTGTAATTCCAGGCGTAGGAATCACGAGGTGTGGTCACATCGAGAGGAAGGACCAGGATACTGCTCGATAAGCATAGCTTCTCAGTGTCCTAAAAACTACCTTCGGATGCTAGGTAGCAACAAATACAAAAAAAAATATTTCAGAGCAGTTTCTCAAGTCTAAGAGTGATCAATACTATGGTTTCCTAATTTTAGTTATCTTAGAGGCCAATTTCTTATATGGGTGTATTCATTTAATATTCTTTATAAATTGAACTTTAAATTGCACGAATCCTCGGTTTAGGAACAGTTGCTAGACGATCGGCGATAAAACTCGGAACTGTAACGTAGTACAACCGTGTTCTACATGGTTTATATACATCTTCAATTTGAATTAGGAGCTTAAAGCTCCAATGACTTGCAAAGTCATAGTATATTTTGTGTTGATGTCATAATCTCCCTTTGTATCCGAGAATGAAGAAATCGCTCTTTTAAGCTGTGACTACAAAAATTGAAACTTTTCCTGCCATATGTTTCTGAACACAGTATCGCAGAAGCAATAAATTTTACTTACCTCTGTTCATTTGCCAGAGCTTTGGTACTAACGTCTCTTGGTAACACAAACTCTGTTTGTTTAGTTCGGTTTTTGCAAGCCCTTACTCTTATAGAAAAAAACAATCTTGCTTTGACGCATGCATAATTACTGACTTTCTCAAAGTTTGTCGTCCTGCAAAAGAAACTAATATCAGTGGAGCAGGTGCTTAATACTAACATAAACTTAATTTTGGCACTTCACTGGTCAGTTGATATGTTTTATTAATATTTGAAAACAAAACTACAGGATTCAAAAATACCGGTAGCATGGTGTCTTTTGTGTAACAAGCAATCAAACTATCGTTTTTCTTCGTAAGGCCTGAAGGTATACTCCTAGAGAAAAGCTCGGTTTAATTACTTTCAAGTCTTATTGCTGGCTTTTAGCAGCTCTGCCCTTTTAGTTGTTTTAGCTTTCCTTGTTATGATTATTACCAGACAGAGGCATTATAAAACTTTGATTGTTCGACGTTATGAAAAGGAGCTGATGTATAAGCAGAAACCTGGTGGTTCTCAGGAAAGCAACAGAAGCAACAGCCCTAATGGGGTCATGTAAATCTAACACCGGCAAGGAGGAACTGAGATAACAGACCATTAAACTTGCATTAAATCAAAACCGTTCTTTGTTCAAGTTTGTGGCATTCGTGCCCATACCAAAATGGTGTTTTGGCGACTCCATATCAAAATTCAAGCATTAATAAGTTAGATAGTGCAGCCAGTGGGAAAGTGAAAACTAAGTCAAAGAACACAGCAGTGGTAGAGATGGGAGAGAGCTGGAACATTGCTCTATAGTCACTTAGATCAAGGACTCCGACGAAGAGGGGGCCGGGAGCCATGAGCTTTTTCAAAATCTTTTGTTAAAGGGCGTTAAATTTTCCCTTGCCTCCTCCCACTTCCCAACCCGTGTCGGAGCCCATGTAGTAAGTGACATTAGTAGAGATTAGGAAGACGTAATGGACGTTAATCAGAAAAGGATTTATTGGTAAACTCTTTACTTTGAATTGCAGCTCGCTTCGTAACAGGACGTAAGAACCCAGTATATGAGCCTTGTTCATAAAATTTTTCTGTAAGAACTGGGTTAGGGATTTATATGTCAAGTATCGGCGTAGGAGCAGAGAGCTGGGGGAGACTCCCCCCCTTCACTTTCCTGCCAAACTCGTTGCGTGCCCCTTTTAACAAATGAGCAGTGCTTCTCCCGTGTTTTAGTTTGTTTGAAACCTGAAATTTGCAGTCAGTATGTAGTATTTGTACTTTTGTTGACATTAATCGAATGTTTCCTTCCAAAAGAAGGTTGATCTTTTTTAGTTTTAGCTTTTCATGCATTTTATTACGTTATTATTGCAATCGAATGCATCGAGGTCTGCACGCTCTTTAAAGAGGATAAACTTTCAGCAATACCAGGACTATATCGAAGAAACAGTCAGGTCATGGTTGGTGAGTCCCCGAGAAACCATCGGATCAAAGGAAGCGTGCCCCGAGACACCAATGCGTAGTACGCCCCACTATGGATGTACTCCCACCGCACATAATAAGAAGAGTTGCAATTTCAATGACCAAGAGAAATAACGAGCAAAGACGACTTTGTAGAAATATTCAGCAAGCGACGAAATGGCTTCTTAAAAGAACCAATTTATTGTCAAGTCAAATCTAGGAGACTAAGATTGAATTAAAGATAAACAAAACAGCATATATGTCTTCCTACCACTGCTGATTGTTGTTGTGACGTCAACATTCTAACTAGGACTCAGGCTAGTGCAAGCCTCCCCGGAAAGTGCTTGTAGCGCAGTCGTGGTTATCAAGGTTTCCTCGCGACTTTCATTAACAGCAAGGATTTCCGAATCAAAACGAAGGCTGTGTGTTGTTTGTAAACGTTGTTTATAAACATAATTGTACGCTTTCAGCTGCTAAAACTCTCAGTTGCGGGAGAACGTCTCGTCATGTTTTACGTCTCGAACAAATTTGATGCTTGTTGACAGAAAGATGAAAAAGGCGATCCACCAGCTGTCTTGTCTGGGAAATTCTGTTTAGTCTGTGACAACATCTAGCTTTTGGAACACAAAACATTGCTGCATAGGTCAAAACAAGTCGAAGGAACTCAAATGAGAAAAATTTTGAACACAGGTGAGTGCGATGACTAATGTTCTGTCATTTGTTTCTGTTTAGAAGTAACCTGTTATAGCTCTTCAATGCAAAAGGAAACGAAGTTCTTTGAGTCGACAAACTATTCTAGGCTAATTGAATTGCTTTTAAGTAAAATTTTTCACCCTTCGTTATTACTGCAACCTGAGGCATTGGTGGCCTCTTTGCCGAAAAACAGAATAGGGGGATGAAATCTTGTTTTGTAGCTGAAACTCTAAAAACATGTTGCTTTTGAGCGACGCTCGGTCTCTCTCTGTCCCTTTACACTGTTTCCTTTTTATAAGAACAAATTTATAAGAGCACGAGCCTTGAAATTGGTCAATAGTTAAGAACAAATTAAGAACAAGCTATGGCTGAGCTGCTGTAAAATGACAATTTTAAACAACGTTTTATCTAAAAAATGAGGATTTTTAGTCATATGTGAGTGCTTTCTCGGTGAATATTCAAACTTGTCGGCAAAAGAAGCTTGTCTCACTCACTTTGTCTGCAAATAAGGCCTGAAAACCTCCCTAGAGCAAAAATGCTACCAATCGCGCTGCTTACACCCTATTAATTTTAGAACAAGTTAGGAACAATCCAGCCTCAGCTTTTCAAAACAATTAAGAACGGTAAGCCTATACGTAAATTAACCGGTGCTTATAAAACAGAGAGTGTATTTCAAAAAAGGCTTCCTGCTTGAGAACGATCGCGAATTTCCAGTAGCAAAAATCAAAAGCAGGGGCTACTTTCTGAGGTAAAAGTAGCTTTCCCTCAATAACACAAAATATTTTATTTGTTGATGCTTTATTCAATATTAGATCTCCCCTCCCTCCCCAGAATTTTGAGGAATTTGTTGGCCAAAAGTCTGGTACAACACAACAACTTTTGCATTGTCACAACCTCTGAATTTTTGCGTTGTCAGCATTAACAAGCACCGCGGAGCGTTGAGAAAAGGGGGGGGGTCTAAAAAAGTGGGGGGGGCTAAAACCGTATAAAAAGAGGCTTTTCTGGTAGTTGTCTGGTAGCCCCCCCAGCCTTCCCCTGCTCCGCGGTGCCTGATTAATTTGAACAGTTTCGCTCTTCATTCAAAATTGGATGCGATGGTTGCCAGTAGGGACAAAATTCTTGATTCAATCCACAATTTTGTCGCTCAGCAGAGTTTTTTGCATACAGACACGAACGCTCGATTTTTTTCATCGTCTTGAACGAACCTTAATCATACAGTGAGCATTATTTAATGTTTCACCGGACATAAAACTTAAATCCCTCGATCTGCATTTCAAAGCAATATTTGTTTTATAAGGGCTAAGCTAATTGACGAGTACAACATTGAGAGTAAATACTCCCAAAAGACTAATCAACGGCCTAGGATTTGCACAACTTCATTAAGATCTGCATCCCTGGATGATGAACGCCTAAAAAGTTTCCGATGATCTTGGCAGCTTCAGCAAGATTTCTTTGGGCCCCTTCGGCATAGAAGCAGTTGGTGTTTAGTTTTCCGAAAACTGCATGTTTGATAACAGTAAGCAAAGCTTTTGAAATCATCGGATAATATCAAACTGTAAGTCTTCACTTTTATTTTAGAATCCAAACCAGAACGGAAAAAGCACAGTCAGGCAGACCATTATTTTATATTAGCCATAGGTAGAGAGAACACCTATAAAGCCCTTTTTCCTACAGGAAAACAAGCTCACGACAAGCTATGCCGCAAATGTTCAATTTTATCAATTTAACCGTTTATTCTCAAAGCCCAGCGCCTTTATCTAAGATAATAAGGTTTAGCGTTCAGTGCACTTTTTAAAGTAATGCAAATAATATGTATATGTAAATAAATATGTAAGTAATATAAACAATATGTGAACTGTTTAGGTGTCGTACCATTTTTGAAATCTCTGATTATCATTGTGCCTGTGTTAACTGTACGAATAGTGGTAACAAAAGTAGCAAACCAAAGTTTGTTTTCCAAAGAGAAACAACGGTTGCTGGATCTCGTAACAGATGAAATATGCTGTAAGCAAACGCAGTGCTACAAGAAAGAAGCGAGCAATTCTGTGAGTGGAGCAAACTGCCATATCGGCCCTGATAGCCCCCTTTAATTCATCAAAATTATCACCAGAGGTCTTTCCAAGTCCCAAAGTATCAACGTCCAAAAGTAAAGCAAGATGAACAACAGTTACTCTTCTCTTTATCCTTTTTTCGGAAATAAACCATCCTGAACAATATGCCATCATTGGAAACGGCAGCAATTTGCACCCTTCACTCCGGGTGCAAAACATTATGAGTTAACCCTCCCCCCCCCCCCTTGGTGATGTGGGTACAGGGCCCGCACCACTGATCCTGAATAGGTGGGGGCAGCAATGTAAAGAAAGTTTCCTCTTACTCCATCCTAGCCCCAATTGTGGCAAACATTTTGCTGAAGCTGTTTTAATTGTGTACCTTCGTTTGATGTATTTGTTGTAATATAACAAAGGTTAATCTTAATAAATAATTCCAGCTGTACAATACAAGGTCGTAGCAACGATACCCCCGGACCTGCCCCCCCCCCTCTCAATGGTGCAGGCCCGGGGGTATCGTTGCTACGTTCTTGTATTGTAGTGTACACTCATTTTTCAATAAGAAACAAAGGTCGATGATGAGTACTCCAGTTTCTTAATGTTCTGGAAATTTCAAAACTCGTTGTTTCTTAAGAGTTTCTTTATTAGGATGTCATGAATGAAGTTATGAAATGTTCGTGACCTTTTATATTCGCTTTCGTTCTGATGCTGTATTTAGATGTAGGACGTATATTTTTATCCCTTGTGTCTTGGTCTATCCCTAGTTCTAGGCCAACAGGGCAATCATGTTCTTGGATTTTACAAAATTTCGTTGTTCTCAGTTTATCACGATTTAATAGTATTTTAATTTTTTTGCTTCAAGTACTGAAGTTTCTTAATTTTTTTCTGACTGTCCAGTACTCGTTTTTTATAGCCAGTTTCTTTAAAAAAATGAGTGTAGCTGCACAAAATGATAAACTAGTATCTTCACGTCTTCGTTTATCATTCTAGGTTTCTGAAGTAATAAAGAAAGAAGCGCTTCAAGACGATGTCAGCTATTCACAAGCTCTCTATTGACACTGCAGCACTTTTCGTTTCAAGAAGCACAAACTCTTCTCCTTCTGAAAGGGAAAAACATGACGTCAAACGCAGTCGTTCGCATGGTTCTTCGCCCTTACCCAAACGCATGCAAATGCAAATCGTGAAGGCCTTGACAAGAGAAAACAGTCTTTACGAAAATGGTCATCTTAAACAGGCATCACAAAGCCCTATATTTTCTAGATCGTCCCATCAGGAAAGTGATTCCAGGTCAGGCGACGACACCGAGCGTCCTTCGCAAAACAAGGGACAAAAAGACCGAAAAGTTTCTAAGAATGAAAAAGATTATCAATATGATTCGGACAGTAAGCCTCGTAAAAAGAATTCACTCGTGAAGAATTTCCTTGTGAGCAGGCTTCGATCAGGCTCATGGCACGCATCGTCTGATTCTGAGGTATCCAAAGGTAGTAAGGGTGTAAGACGAATCAGCGAAGATACGCTGAGCTCAAGAGAACGAGGCAACGAAAGTGTTGATGGAGCCATGAAAAGAAACAAAAATAACAATCTGAATGAGCTTATACAACACGTACTTGAAACCCACTTGCACAACGAAGTTTACGATTGTAGCATGGCGTCTGATAAATGTAAATTGGTGAGCGAGGTTTTAGAACAAACAGTCAAACGTAGACTCAACGTTGGTAGCAAAAATTTTAAGATTAGTGCTTTAGTATTTTTAGGGGAAGTGAAAGATGACGGTATCAAAATGGCGACTCAGTGCGCTTGGGAGCCGAACCAGGACCATTTTGCCATGGCAACCTTTGAGTCAGATCATTTATTTGCGTCAGCCATGGTTTTTGCCGTCGAGTTTGAAGACGGATACGACCTAGAAAATATTAGTTAGTATTGCCCTAGTCTCTGCCTATTGGTGAAGCGACAGGAACATTTTTTGGACATACATTGCAGTAAAATATTTCTAAAAAGCCTCCCTTCAAACATGGAAAATTTGTTTACTGAAATAAAGGAAACATTCATCCGATATATTTCGGCAAAAATGCTTCCTGATCACCGCGAGCTTATAAGTTTGCCACAAATAATGTCCTCAATTCTTCAAATCAAAAGCTAGGCAAACCTGAACGAGTTAAAGCTTCGTCAGATAACCGTGTACCTCACTGTCTGTTAGATACCCAACGTTTTTTCAGGCACTGGTCCATCAAAACCTATAATATTTATTCATCTTAAAACTTTTTTAACATTTTTCTTTGTCTTGCCCTTAGGTTCTCAATCGAACTTAATTTCCGTTGCTTTTCTGTTTCCCTTGATTTGATCTCACACTTGTTTGACCCTAGGCAAAATTTTCATATCACAATCACAATCAAAGCTAAAATTTCTCTTAAGTTTATGCCAGAGCCAGGCAACCCTTTTTACTTGGGGGCCAAATTTACGACGATTAGTACCCAGGAAGAGTGGGTCGGACCAGGATGGGCTAAGAAATTTTGAAAGCAGGTTTCAGTGTTACCACCTTCAAAACTGCAAACCTCATCTTCCTGGTTTAGATGTTTGCTTCCAGTCTCCTGTTTTATATGAATAGAACACAAATTTCCCCTTATGTACTGTGATTTCAAACTGTCCTGTCCTGGACGATTTTCGTGACCATACCACATTTAATAAGAAATCTTCCTGGGTAATGGAAACTGGTCAGGTTTTTTTATTCTAAGCTCACTACAGCTCGATTGATCGATTTTTCAACCTTTATGGTGCATATTATAGTGAATTTTTATAAACAGAATTTTACAGCTAAGATGTAATTTTTCTATCCAAATCTATGTAATTTTAGTCGCAAGGTTACATGACGTATCTCGTAGAAGAAAGTTATCTTCTGGTAGACTTCTGGTAGAGTATCTTCTGGAATTTTTTCTAGATGAATCTGTTGCTCAGTACAAATTAGGCTTTTTATTTCAATTTTCTCCTTTTTTCACTTGTCAAGTTTCTCTGCTCTTGTTCTCTCTGAGCAAGACTTTCTCTGTTCATCAACTGCCTCCCCTTCTTTCTATAGCCTTTGTTTGAAGCGACATAACGAACCTGGTGGCCACCTGAAAAAAAGAGATGTTTAGTGCAGGGCTGGGGAAACGTGGCAACGAAAGTATTTTGGAAGCAGGCACCGCTCAGCCATTGGGCTAGCAGGGGCTATAGCTCCCCCCCCCCCCACTTTTTGGCAATAATAGGCTATAAATTTTTTGGATAGTTTACCCTAACGCATCTTTGCATAGTTTACTCCTATGTAGTAGCAGCTCTTCTTGACTGGGAACCTTTTTTTCATTTTCTAGGTGTTTTATCTTGTTTAATGATATGATGTATTTTCTAGCTTGGTTAGCTTGGTATTTTGTTACTCTCAAGCTAATTTTATCTATTTTTATAGTTATCGGTAACTTCTCTGAACCAGGCTGTTTATAAAAATTGAGTAGAAATGGAAAAGTATTTTCTAAAAGGGGCGTTCTCCGGCGTTCTGGAGGACGTGACCTCAAAAAATTTTAGTCACACCATTTTCAGTCCCTCCACTTTTAGACTGGTGCGCGGTCCCTGTTTGGAAGGGGTTAGTAAAGGCCACCACCATGGTTGGCAGCAAGAAAGACTTCAGCAATATGGTGTTCTAGGGATGGCTAGAAACTAGATCTTAAGCAGATCTTGACCGAAGAAAATTCTGCAGTAATGTTTTCAAGCTTTCTTTCATCGCTGGATCCATAGTTTTATCCAGCCAATTATCAAATTGTACATTAAATTGGGAAGAAAAGCAATAGATAAGATGGAGAAAAGCAATAGATAAGACACAGTTTAGTAATAAAACATAACAACTACATCAACTAAAATAGAAGATTAAGCAATGTGGTCATGTTGGTGGGTATCGCTTTGTAAATTCTGATTGTAAAAATTTTCGAGAATAAATGCTTCTAATAAAAACGACTCTAGAATTTTCAAACTGGAATGGTTGAAATGATTGAAAATAATATTTATCATTGCGTCTTTAATTTTAAAGTAGATTGCTCGATAGTATTTTTTTAACGAGGCAGGATAATATGCTTTGTCTTGACATAAATCCCCCTTAAAAATGAGATATTGTCTTACAGTTTGATAACAAACATTTCCTCTCTTTCCTGGCAAGACAGAATCATCGATAAGATAAGACTTTAAAACATTCTTGACGATTCCTTCAATTAACATATTTGCCGACTCTTTGTTTCTCGTAATCGCAAAAAATTATTGTCCTTGAGGCTTTCTCACAACAGCTGATATTTTCTCTTTCTGTGACGTTTTGAAAGTTTGTCCGTTAACAAAAAATCCTTGTCAGCCAGGTTTAGGCCATAGAACAAACAAAGCTCCGTCATTTGGTTTTGGCACCAAGTTATTCTGGACAAGGTTTCTCCCTTTTATATCTAAGGAAAGTACACATTCTAAATATCGTACAGAGGTTTATAGTTGAGGTCACTTTTTGGAAGGCTGTTACTCGTACAGTGCAAGGTGTAACGCACTACTTGGATAATGATTCGGTTTCTTTGATAAAATTCCCATTTCAAATGGTAAAGACATAGCAACGAATCTTAAGCTAAGGGTATATTTAAGGAAATATCAAACAAAATAACTAACAGAAAGTTAAACATTACTTTGTCTAGAAATATTCATTTTGTTCTGCAGAAACATTAGGGGGGGGGTATAGCCCCCTGGCCTTCCCCGGTTTTGCCTGCCCTATAGGAGAAGGCACAAGTAATTCTTATAAAGTTTGTACTATGTTCAAACTCTAACGTCGTTACCAATGAGATTTACCCATAGTTATCAAAGTAGCTCGTTGAAGTCTCATAATGGGAGGAGGATTGACTAGGTCAATGTTGTACCGGGAAGGAGAAACCAGAATTCTAATAAATTCTAACACAGCCATATATTCCTTTGTTGCTTTTATCATTCTTTTTTATTATACGAAAAAATATGAAAACCACAATGTGAAACTTAACTAACTTAACCTTTTTAATAGAATATCATTCGAAATGTTAGATTGGATGAATCGAAGGCTCATAAGTATCAAAAGAATGAGGCTGAATCTTTTAGACTAGTATGCTGTAAATAATCTTGGGGATTTTATCATTTTGGATTGTATGCTTGAATTACTGAAACTCAACGGATTTATCTTATATCAAATGATATCAGCCCTTTGCAGAGTCCAGAAAAGTTGTCAACTTCCTTCGGCCAAGAAAATCCTACTATAAAATCTTTCTTATTCTTAACGGGCTCAAAATAGGCGTGGTTAGGAAAATTGAGTACCTATCTAGTCTTGATTCCCTCTTCTTGCAACTCTGTTTTTCCAAAACATTTTTAAAATGTTTAGTTTGTTTTCAATTATAGACAGTTCTGAGACAGATGTAAAGCTACATGCTTGTGTCAAAAAAAAGTGTGTCATAATTTAAATATATGAATTATAAACAGTTAATGCCTAAATTTACGGCGAAAGAAGTTCTACACATTCATTTTGAAAAAACAAGGGGTTAATAAATTCATTTTGATCTTTTCATAATTTTTGTATTTTGAAAACCAAAAGGCAACAAGTTTTCTTAAACCCCCTCGATATTTCCACATTTTTGGTAACCTTCCTCAATTTCTTTTTGTTTCTACAACTATTTTCCTCCGGCCAGTGGCCGTGGAGTCATGACTTTTTCCGGACTCTTCCCGTTTGATGTATAGAAACTCGGATTAGCAACTTAGAACCGTCCTGTTCTATACATCAAAAGCGTGTACAGATCTGCCAAAAAAATTAAAAGTGGAGCGACGACCAGGGTCTGCCATTTCTCTAAAACATATTACCCTGGCTTTTTTCACAATCTGGACTTTCTAGAATGTTGCCCGATGGCAGAATCGCATATTTAACGTTCCATTAGATCTGCAAGACCAAGGAGGCTAAGTCTAGGTCTGGGCCTCAAAAAGAAGATTTCCTGGGTTGAATGGAACATGCTGTTGCATAACATCCCCAAATCTGTGCGTCCTGAACTCTTTTGGCTGGCTGGAACACAATCCTCAAGAAAGAAAGAGTGCTTTTATAATAAAAACTAAAAAGCAAACATTTTAAATTTTTTGTTAAAGACGAGGTTGGTTTCAGTAATAAGGGGTGGGGGTAAGAGTATTTCAACAGAACATGAAAATTTCCACAACCATATATTCTGTGATTGAATGATGTTTCCAAGAACGACCTCGTTTCCGAGAATGTATAACTTAGAAATAGAAAATGGCTGCCGTATCACATGGTGGACCGACGATGTCATGTTTACAAAGTTCAAAGGTATTTAAACTAATATTGCTGATTTCAAAAGTTAATTTCCTATCAAGTAAATAATTATAGTAAAAATTTATCTGATCGTGTTTTGATTGATATTTGTGATGGGTAGATATATAGCCAAAGGAAATTCAAGTTCCCATTCACACATTAGGAGGGTTTTGGTTTGGCTTTGCAAAAGCAAATTTATTATAGAATAACAGTTAGAAAACATAAAGCAACACTATTGAGCCCTGTTTCAGTTGCTAAAGAATCTGTGGAAAGTCGCTCCATTTTCAAAAATATCTTGGATGTGACAGTGATGACAGTTTGATGTGGCAGTTTGAAATCACTTAGGTCCAAAAGTAGATATTCGCAAAACTTGACATACATTCAAAGAAAAACCACTTTTTCCAGAGTATAAACTCAATATAAGAAGGAATTCAAACAGATCAAAATCGACACAGTTCCCCTAGTACACAATCAAATAGAAAAACTATCCAAAACTTGCATATTTGTACTCAAATAACTCTTGCGAACAATAGCGACCCCAGCCACTGCGCTCTGGGTGGGGGGGGGGGGACAAAACAAAATATTTTAGACAACGCTTCTTTAGCACCAGAAAACGCCCTTTTACTAACAAAGAACGCAATTTTTACCTCAAGGGAACGCCCAAGACTCACTTTTGGCTATGTAAAGGCAGTTTGAAAATCATAGGATTACATCACAAAAAGTATGTTGCCCAAATATTACCCCTCCCCCAACATTTTCTCAAAGGATTTAGACGAAATGGAAAACTGATCCTGCCAAGAGCTGGGGGGACGTTTCCCCCCCCCACCCAGTCCCCCCTGTGGCACCGCTACTGCTTGCAAATGTGAACAGAATTCAATGAAACTTGACAAAACATCATGAAATAAGATATTATCACAGATTTTTCTTGGAGTTTTTTAAAGTTGTAGCATTCTAGGGGTAAAGTTCTTGAATTGACTCCCGTACCAAAAAAATTGAACATTTCAGCATTCTTATCCCTTGCATCAGATCACTAATTTTTTTCTAATCCTTCAAAATTTTAATTCTTTCTTACCTGCTAAGAGGTTCTTCTTTCTTCCTCCTTGTTTTTTGTTTGTTTTCTTGATCTTCATCATAAAAGCCTTTAATGTTTGGGAGGTTAAACGAATCTCTTTTAGCCTTCATTGCTCGATTATTTTCTTTTTTAACTATGCCCTGCCGTTTCTACATTATTGCCCCTTACATCAGATTCTATTTATTTTTCTAATCCTTCAAGTTTTTTATTTTTCTTACATGCTAAGAGGTTCTTCTTTCTTATTCCTTGTTTTTTATTTGTTTTCTTGATCTTCATCATAAAAGCCTTTAATGTTTGGGAGGTTAAACGAATCTCTTTTAGCCCTCATTGCTCGTTTATTTTCTTTTTTAACTATGCCCTGCCGTTTCTAACTATTATTCTCCTTACATCAGATCTCTATTTATTTTTCTAATCCTTCAAGTTTTTTATTTTTTCTTACCTGCTAAGAGGTTCTTCTTTCTTCCTCCTTGTTTTTTGTTTGTTTTCTTGATCTTCATCATAAAAGCCTTTAATGTTTGGGAGGTTAAACGAATCTCTTTTAGCCTTCATTGCTCAATTATTTTCTTTTTAACTATGCCCTGCCGTTTCTAACATTATTGCCCCTTACATCAGATCTCTATTTATTTTTCTAATCCTTCAAGTTTTTATTCTTTCTTACCTGCTAAGAGGTTCTTCTTTTTTTTCCTTGTTTTTGTCCATTTTCTTGATCTTCATCGTAAAAGCCTTTAATGTTTTGGAGAATAAACGAATCTCTTTTAGCCTTCATTGCTCGATTATTTTCTTTTTTAACTATGCCCTGCCGTTTCTACATTATCGCTCCTTACATCAGATCTCTATTTATTTTTCTAATCCTTCAAGTTTTTAATTCTTTCTTACATGCTAAGAGGTTCTTCTTTCTTTCTTCTTGTTTTGTCCATTTTCTTGATCTTCATCGTAAAAGCCTTTAATGTTTTGGAGAATAAACGAATCTCTTTTAGCCTTCATTGCTCGATTATTTTCTTTTTTAACTATGCCCTGCCGTTTCTAACATTATTGCTCCTTACATCAGATCTCTATTTATTTTTCTAATCCTTCAAGTTTTTTTTTTCTTACATGCTAAGAGGTTCTTCTTTCTTCCTCCTTGTTTTTTGTTTGTTTTCTTGATCTTCATCGTAAAAGCCTTTAATGTTTGGGAGGTTAAACGAATCTCTTTTAGCCTTCATTGCTCGATTATTTTCTTTTTTAACTATGCCCTGCCGTTTCTACTATTATTGCCCCTTACATCAGATCTCTATTTATTTTTCTAATCCTTCAAGTTTTTTATTTTTTCTTACATGCTAAGAGGTTCTTCTTTCTTCCTCCTTGTTTTTGTTTGTTTTCTTGATCTTCATCATAAAAGCCTTTAATGTTTGGGAGGTTAAACGAATCTCTTTTAGCCTTCATTGCTCGATTATTTTCTTTTTTAACTATGCCCTGCCGTTTCTAACATTATTGCCCCTTACATCAGATCTCTATTTGATTTTTCTATCCTTCAAGTTTTTTATTTTTTCTTACATGCTAAGAGGTTTATCTTTCTTTCTTCTTGTTTTTGTTTGTTTTCTTGATCTTCATCGTAAAAGCCTTTAATGTTTTGGAGGTAAACGAATCTCTTTTAGCCTTCATTGCTCGATTATTTTCTTTTTTAACTATGCCTTGCCATTTCTAACATTATTGCTCCTTACATCAGATTTCTATTTATTTTTCTATCCTTCAAGTTTTTTATTTTTTCTTACATGCTAAGAGGTTCTTCTTTCTTCCTCCTTGTTTTTGTTTGTTTTCTTGATCTTCATCGTAAAAGCCTTTAATGTTTTGGAGGTTAAACGAATCTCTTTTAGCCTTCATTGCTCGATTATTTTCTTTTTTAACTATGCCCTGCCGTTTCTAACATTATTGCCCCTTACATCAGATTTCTATTTATTTTTCTAATCCTTCAAGTTTTTTATTTTTTCTTACATGCTAAGAGGTTCTTCTTTCTTCCTCCTTGGTTTTTGTTTGTTTTCCTGATCTTCATCATAAAAGCCTTTAATGTTTGGGAGTTAAACGAATCTCTTTTAGCCTTCATTGCTCGATTATTTTCTTTTTTAACTATGCCCTGCCGTTTCTAACATTATTGCCCCTTACATCAGATTTCTATTTATTTTTCTAATCCTTCAAGTTTTTTATTTTTCTTACCTGCTAAGAGGTTCTTCTTTCTTCCTCCTTGGTTTTTGTTTGTTTTCCTGATCTTCATCATAAAAGCCTTTAATGTTTGGGAGGTTAAACGAATCTCTTTTAGCCTTCATTGCTCGATTATTTTCTTTTTTAACTATGCCCTGCCGTTTCTAACATTATTGCCCCTTACATCAGATTTCTATTTATTTTTCTAATCCTTCAAGTTTTTTATTTTTTCTTACCTGCTAAGAGGTTCTTCTTTCTTCCTCCTTGGTTTTTGTTTGTTTTCTTGATCTTCATCATAAAAGCCTTTAATGTTTTGGAGTTAAACGAATCTCTTTTAGCCTTCCTTGCTCGATTATTTTCTTTTTTAACTATGCCCTGCCGTTTCTAACATTATTGCCCCTTACATCAGATTTCTATTTATTTTTCTAATCCTTCAAGTTTTTTATTTTCTCTTACATGCTAAGAGGTTCTTCTTTCTTCCGCCTTGGTTTTTGTTTGTTTTCCTGATCTTCATCATAAAAGCCTTTAATGTTTGGGAGGTTAAACGAATCTCTTTTAGCTTCATTGCTCGATTATTTTCTTTTTTAACTATGCCCTGCCGTTTCTAACATTATTGCCCCTTACATCAGATTTCTATTTGTTTTTCTAATCCTTCAAGTTTTTTATTTTTTCTTACCTGCTAAGAGGTTCTTCTTTCTTCCGCCTTGGTTTTTGTTTGTTTTCCTGATCTTCATCATAAAAGCCTTTAATGTTTGGCAGTTAAACGAATCTCTTTTAGCCTTCATTGCTCGATTATTTTCTTTTTTAACTATGCCCTGCCGTTTCTAACATTATTCCCCTTACATCAGATTTCTATTTATTTTTCTAATCCTTCAAGTTTTTTATTTTTCTTACATGCTAAGAGGTTCTTCTTTCTTCCGCCTTGGTTTTTGTTTGTTTTCTTGATCTTCATCATAAAAGCCTTTAATGTTTGGGAGGTTAAACGAATCTCTTTTAGCCTTCATTGCTCGATTATTTTCTTTTTTAACTATGCCCTGCCGTTTCTAACATTATTGCCCTTACATCAGATTTCTATTTATTTTTCTAATCCTTCAAGTTTTTTATTTTTCTTACCTGCTAAATGGTTCTTCTTTCTTCCGCCTTGGTTTTTGTTTGTTTTCTTGATCTTCATCATAAAAGCCTTTAATGTTTGGGAGGTCAAACAAATCTCTTTTAGCCTTCATTGCTCGTTTATTTTCTTTTTTAACTATGCCCTGCCGTTTCTAACATTATTGCCCCTTACATCAGATTTCTTTTTATTTTTCTAATCCTTCAAGTTTTTCATATTTTTTCTTACATGCTAAGAGGTTCTTCTTTCTTCCGCCTTAGTTTTTGTTTGTTTTCCTGATCTTCATCATAAAAGCCTTTAATGTTTGGGAGGTCAAACAAATCTCTTTTAGCCTTCATTGCTCGTTTATTTTCTTTTTTAACTATGCCCTGCTATTTCTAACATTATTGCCCCTTACATCAGATTTCTATTTATTTTTCTAATCCTTCAAGTTTTTTATTTTTTCTTACCTGCTAAATGGTTCTTCTTTCTTCCGCCTTGGTTTTTGTTTGTTTTCTTGATCTTCATCATAAAGGCCTTTAATGTTTGGGAGGTCAAACAAATCTCTTTTAGCCTTTATTGCTCGATTATTTTCTTTTTTAACTATGCCCTGCCGTTTCTAACATTATTGCCCCTTACATCACATTTCTATTTATTTTTCTAATCCTTCAAGTTTTTTATTTTTTCTTACCTGCTAAATGGTTCTTATTTCTTCTTCCTTGGTTTTTGTTTGTTTTCCTGATCTTCTGTTGAATATATGGGCGTGTATGGTACATCATGATTTTCATGTAACATTAAACCTTCGTTGCGATTAATGACATCATATTAATAACAGTAAATAAAGCCGAAGTAGTACAACAATTAAAACATAATAGAATAAGGGCACAGAGTGGCTTCAAAATGAATTTAAGTTACAGCACCTATCATAAAACTGATTGGAGAAAAAGCTCAAGTTATGAAAAAATAAAAATTACTGTTTTTTGGTCTGTCATAGAATGCTTGATGCCGTTGGGCAGAGCTGTACACGCTTTTGGTTCTAAATTGGACGGTTCTAAATTTCTTCTCTTAGGTCTCCTAGGTTCACTCTTAATGCGATTTTCAGGCATCAGACAACAACTTAGAACTGTGGCAGTGTTGACTAGAGCAAAAATGGTGCCAGTGTTGGAGAATTTAATTTTTAAGTAAATTCTTAAGCTCTGCAAGTGCTAACACGATGTTAGATGATTTTCCAGCTAGAAGACATTGTAAAATTTATCGATATAAATCCAGTGGAGTTACCGGACCCTATGAAAATGCTCTTCCCAATGAGCTTTCCCGTTTTCGAAAGTAAATTTCCACAGTGGATATTAATTGAACTTGGTCTAATAATCTAGACAGGGGAGACGTCTTTATTCAGTTATTTTTTATTGCCAAACTAAACTATAACACTTTTGACACACAGTTATGGTTTTGCATAATTTCCATTAGAATGAAGATCACTTGAACAGTCAGATTCAGTGATTTACATCACTGCCAGGATTTTTACTTTTTTGACCATGGAAGATCAAAAAGAGAGTTTAACAGCCCATAAAGGGTTCCATGACAACAAATAATTTGCTTAAATCCAAACTTTCTAAATTGATCATATTAGTAAGTTCCTTTTTTTTATTTCCGTATTTTCTCGATTAAACGCCCCGGAGCTATAACTAATTTCAGCATTTTAGAGGGCACCTATTCGAGTGAGGGGGCCTATTCGAGGGGCGCACACTTCAAGAAATAAACAGAAAACTCAAACCTTTCTTGAAAAATGAAGAGACAAATAAGATAACAGCATTCGTTATTGGGTCCAGAGAAAAAGAAAATTGTTTGGTTGTGCTTTTCCTATGTGGATCAACATCACAGAGAATGAAAGTCGTCATAGTTTTGCACAAGCAAGTGATAGCCACAAGAGAAGAGTGTCAACACATGGACAATACTGTGAAGGAATTTGAATGCAAGAAAAGATTCACATTCTCTGAATCAATTCAAAGTTTTTGTCTTGAATCTGCGATGGGGAAAAACGATGCAGTAATGTTTTTCAAAGGTAGCAAGTGGGATCATGGTATTTTCGGCTGTTTTTGCAGAAAAATTCCTGCTATACCAATTAAAAAAGCAAGAAATAACTAGTTTTTGAGAGCTTTTTTAAAGGAGAGCTTATTAGGAACTTTTTCAAGCTTTGTGCGTTTCGATCCACCCTAATTTGCCAGCTCTGATGGTGCGTTTCGATCCAACCTGTTTTCTTGGTTCTGATTGGTGCGTTTCGATCCAACCTGTTTTCTCGGTTTGTGATTGATGCGTTTCGATCCACCTTATTTTGTCGGTTCCGATTGGTGCGTTTCGATCCACCCACTTTGGTCATTTCTGATTGTTGCGTTTCGATCCACACTGTTTTGCCAGTTCTGATTGGTGCGTTTCGATCCACCCTGTTTTCTCGGTTCTGATTGGTGCGTCTCGATCCACCCACTTTGGTCATTTCTGATTGGTGCGTTTCGATCCACACTGTTTTGCCAGTTCTGATTGGTGCGTTTCGATCCACCCTGTTTTCTCGGTTCTGATTGGTGCGTTTCGATCAACCCACTTTTGCCAGTTCTGATTGGTGCGTTTCGACCCAATCTGTTTTGTCGGTTGTGACTGGTGCGTTTCGATCCACCCATTTTGTCGGTTCTGGCTAGTGCGTTTTGATTTACCTATTTTTTCTTTTTATAACTGTTGTGATTTGGTTCTAATTGGCTCGTTTCTGCTTCCGCTAGATCCGCTTGTTGCATCTTATTTGTCGAGTATGCTTGTCAAAACAATTTTTCGTTTTAAAAGTTAATAAATGCTTGGAAATAAATAATCACTTCAAAACCATACACAAGTTTTTCTTAACATCTATCCTGTTTTAAAACCATACACTGTTTTAAACAACGACCTAATCTAAATATCTTTATGATATTTTGCCATTAATTAGGGATACTAGATCATATCTTCTTAGTCAGAAAATGATGACTGATATTTTTCTATATTTCATTTACATGTTTTTACTTTGTAAAAAATTTTGTACAGAAATTCTATCGCACCTGACAACGACAAGAAGAAGAAAAAAGATTTTTTTACATCTATAATGTCAAATGCTAATTATTGTCCACTTACCTAGACTTTTGTGGCGATTCCCAGGACAAAGAAGTAGACTCCTTGTCGAAGACGATAGATCGAGTTTTGATAAGGGACCAGTCATAATTAATGGCAGGGGATGGGTCTTCTTGACTTTCTCTCCGGGAAGCATGGCACCAGTTAACGACAAGCAGCTTCTCAGGTCACGTTCAACTATTCTTTTCCTGTTCTTTCTATTATTCTCCTTCGCAAGGATTTTTGCTTCTGTCCATGATCATCTGGATATTCTTTTACGTTTACGGGGGGATCTATAAGAAATTATTCTTGGATTTATAGGGGGCAACATTGTAATTAAATGAATTTGAGGGGGCCGGAAATAACTTCGCTTTTCCAAAAATATCTTCCGCCCCACCCCCACCATTGATATTGAATGGTCCCAAGCTTCTACAATCGATCGATAACAGAAGGCTCTATGTAAAAATCTTCTTAACTTGATTGTTGAATTTCAGAGGTGCCTTTCGTTCAAAATGTGACAGCCTTGCCCGGCTTTCCACTGAATTCTTTCTTATTTTCTTATGAAAATAAAAGGGATTCGATTAAATAAGGGGAATAATCAGAATTTTTGAATAGTAAAACGAGCTAGACAAAAAATCATGTTAATAATCAAAATGAGGAACTACTTCATAATGATTTTTCGTGAATTTTGTTGATTTGCAAACACTAGCAAAAATTATTCATGAAGAATTTCATTGTAATAAATTCATTGTAAGAAAATTTCTGCTTTAAGATAAAGGAGAAACGGGAAGGAAATTTAAAAAAACCGGAACACCGAAAGAAAGCAAGCGAAACCGGGAGCCTCCCGGCAAAACCAAGAAAGTTGACAGATCTTATGCTAGTTTAGGCACGATTTTAGGCCATGAGGGCTGTCTGATTATCTATGAAGTCTAAAATTTTTTCATTAGTAACCAAGAGAAAACAGCCGTAAAACGACATTGGGATTTTCTTAAACGATCTCTAGGACACTCTATCCATACCATCCGGCTAGCACCGCAATGCGAGCCAACTATGCAAGCAGATTGCAGCGTAAACTGTAAAGTTTCTTGCTTTCATTACAAGAAGTAACATGTGCATTAATTATATTTTATTTTTGTTAGGTTGACTACGAGTCGTCGTACTAAGAAGTAGAAGGGAAGACAGCAAAGGAATTCTTGAGCAGCAATCATGTGCCAGCGATGAATACAAAGCCTACATAGCTGCAAAATCTGCTTGATAACAAAAGTAGCGGTATTGGTTTTTGTTTAGGTTTGGCATATTTGAAAGCATAACTTGACACTTTTACAAACTAAAGAAAAACCCCAGATTGTTAGCCAGTTGTTGATTCAGTGAAGTTAAAACATCCCACAAGAGGCAGCTTTATTTCAAACAGCATAGCTCCTGAAACAAAGCCAATTGAATAGACAATATAGAAATAGGCGTTTCTGACCATCCCTTAAGAACACGCCCTTTTCAGTCCAAGTTACAATAAACACAAGACTTATCCAAGTGACCGATTAGGCCTCGGTTACAGAAGACAAGCTCCAGAAAGATCAGAGATTCAAAAAGTGACTTTAAGTTGACTTCCCATCGGTATTATTAGCGAGTGAGACCCTTATAAAGGTTCGTTTAATAGCGCATTTTATGAGATTGGATGAGAGACTGGTAGCAAATGTTGATAGAAATATGTATAAAAGTTGTTTGAGTACTCTGTGACAATATATAAAAGAGTGTACAACATTTTCATTAAAGATCGGGGAATCTACATATTTTCAAAATGTGCTAGATCAAATAATTTTAAGGGGACCACGCTCGTGAAATGTGCGTAAATTTGAAACAGGGGTGTATGACCACTCTTTCTGAAGGGAGGGGTAATATTTCTGTAATTCACAGCAAAAAACTGCGTTGACCGCTGATGAATGTAGTGTTTGGTTGTAGGGTGTTGTAAACGTATATAAGATGCTAACTAAAAGTATCTATTTATTCCTTAAAGTTGTTATTAAATTTTTCAACATTTTGCTTAAACTGGTTAGACTTAAAGGCTTTTATACTTTTTGTAGTGGCGTTCCCATATTCAGTTAGACACCTTATGATTACCAGCGTAGATTCATTCTACGTTCTCATCTAAACGTGATCTCCTTTTACGTTCTACCTTGTAAACAACTAGCTACTCTGGCAAGGGGAATCATTGGCAAAGTGAGGCTTTAGAAATCTGCTATTGAATTTCCTTTGTCAAAGGCGAGAAGTCTTTGTGCAGCTAAATTCGGTTGAAACATATTTTTTGTTGCTTAGTTATTTAATCGATTTAATTGTGCATTTGTAAAATTGTTATTTGAATTATGAACTTCTGCCTAGAATTTTTCACTTATTTTTCTTGGTTTTCTTTGCGTAAATAACTGATAATTTCTGTGATCCGGCCCAGACATTCCTCTGTTTACACAAAGAGAGCCTTTTGTCTCAAATTGAATAGGCAGTGTTTCAACTAACAGTTGCAATTCTGGCGAAAGTATACATTGTATCAATTGTTACGTTGTACCACAGGATGCAGGAGACTGTGCTCTTTCTTCTGGTCTTTTCGCTGAGACGATCGGACCATGTATGGCAAAGTTATTCGGGTTTTACTCAGTTTTGACCGAGGGGGATTCAGGATTGCACAAAGCAGTTCAGAAAAAACAATAGGCTTGTGATTCCCAGAGTTTGTAAAGATCTCAGTTTTTGGTGATTTACTCCTAAACTATAATAGCTATGAATTTCTAGTTTAATTCATGAGACGGGCCGTATGATGCTCGATTTTTTGAGCCGTTTCCCGTATTTTTAGGACCAGTTTTAGCCGAGTTATCAAGGATTTTGTCTCGAAAATCGCCAAAAAATGGTTTTTTGGACTTTAAAAATCAACAACAGCCGTTAAAAATTCGCTGATACTTTCTAAAAATCGAGCCAAAAATCGCCTAAATTCTGATATATAGCTTTCTCTGTTTGAAGCTCGCGTTTCTTTTTAAAATCGATTTTTCCGAAAAGTGCACTTTTCAAATTTTCTCAAATTTGCATCGCAGCGTCCAGGCCTGGCCAAAGCCGTTGCTGCGATGGCGACTTATACTTTCTACTTAAAAACGATATTTTCTTGAAGTTTTAAAGCGGGGGTAAGCTTTTTACATGCTAAGCAAACTGTTTTAAGTCGATTTAGATGCAATTACAGTGTAATCGCTTGATTTTAAATCATTTTGAAAAACTTCAGTACATGTCACTAGCCGCCCGTAGCCCGGTCAGTTTTAATGGAGAGAACCACACGAATATCGCTCTATATTCGCATATCAAGAGCGTTGATCATTTAACAGCCGTTTACACACTCTCTTCTTGCATGTTTAATCTGTTTAATCTTTTACAAAGGGATTAATTGCAACAAAATTTTTGCAACTTCATTTTTCTTCAATGAAGGTCTGGGAATCCCCTTCCTTAGGTATATTCAGGCTTGCAAACTTTCTATTGTCTTACCGAGTTACCCTTTGGTTTTTGCCTTTCTGAGGCTTTGATATCAATATGATTGAGAGAAATAGAGAAAAGATGCAGTTATTTATCGCCTCAAACGCTTAAAAAGCCAATATCGAGCGATTTTCGTGTGTTTTTCTCCATTAAAGCAGATCGGGCGACGGGCGGCTAGTGACATGTACTAAACTTTTTCACAATGTCACTAGCCGCCCGTCGCCCGATCTGCTTTAATGGAGAAAAACACACGAAAATCGCTCGATATTCGCTTTTTAGGCGTTTGAGTCGATAAATAACTGCATCTATGCTCTTTTTATATCAATCATATTTATATTAAAGCCTTAGAAGGGCAAAAACTAGAGGGTTACCCGGTAAGACAATAGAAAGTTTGCAAGCCTGAATATACCTAAGGAAGGGGATTCCCAGACCTTCATTGAAGAAAAGTAAAGTTGCAAAAATTTTGTTGCAATTAATCCCTTTGTAAAAGATTAAACAGATTCAACATGCAAGAAGAGAGTGTGTAAACGGCTGTTAAATGATCAACGCTCTTGATATGCGAATATAGAGCGATATTCGTGTGGTTCTCTCCATTAAAACTGACCGGGCTACGGGCGGCTAGTGACATGTACTGAAGTTTTTCAAAATGATTTAAAATCAAGCGATTACACTGTAATTGCATCTAAATCGACTTAAAACAGTTTGCTTAGCATGTAAAAAGCTTACCCCCGCTTTAAAACTTCAAGAAAATATCGTTTTTAAGTAGAAAGTATAAGTCGCCATCGCAGCAACGGCTTTGGCCAGGCCTGGACGCTGCGATGCAAATTTGAGAAAATTTGAAAAGTGCACTTTTCGGAAAAATCGATTTTAAAAAGAAACGCGAGCTTCAAACAGAGAAAGCTATATATCAGAATTTAGGCGATTTTTGGCTCGATTTTTAGAAAGTATCAGCGAATTTTTAACGGCTGTTGTTGATTTTTAAAGTCCAAAAAACCATTTTTTGGCGATTTTCGAGACAAAATCCTTGATAACTCGGCTAAAACTGGTCCTAAAAATACGGGAAACGGCTCAAAAAATCGAGCATCATACGGCCCGTCTCATGAATTAAACTAGAAATTCATAGCTATTA